GCCCGTCGCCTGAGGTGACAGAAATGAAAACGTTCCAAGGCGAGTAAACGAACGAGCACCTGGAATTTGTTTGAGTTTTTCTGTTTCCCCATCTTTTTCTGCCAAGTAATCTCTTTTCTTCCCCTTTTTCCTCTAATTTGGGTTCTAATGTGAAAGATGAAATCTGAGATGGCGATGTATGATATCTCTGGATTTTTGTATTAAAACCAAACGAAAGAAAACAATCTGCTTCTTTGCATCTGTATGTGTAGGGTTTAGTTACGGACCAGGTCAAACCAAATGCAGGTGTAAAATACATTAAGTCGGTTAGTTAAAATTAGGATTTTATATTTTTAACCAACCGAAAGCCAGATTTTATGTCAGTCACTTGGTATATATATATTTTAGTATGAAGTCAAAGGATAGTTTTGTAATGGATGTCTCCCCTGAGTTTAGCACTTGTCTTCATGGCATCTTATTTTATTACATTTGAAGAAACGGATGAATTCTGTTGCCTGTTGAGGTTATGTCTATGGGCTTCCTGCTGGGTTTTATTATCAATAAATCACAACAACAAATGAAGACAGTGCTGCTGTTGAGCCGGACAGGGTTTTTACCAAAAGTTTGAATGGAAATGACAACTTACAGGCGAGCAGTGGCTGTGGGGGCCGGTGGGACAGCAGGTTACAGGTAGACAGAAATATGACTGTAAAGGGAACCTACCAGTAGGGGGCAGCAGCGTGCTGTTTTGAGGGGGGATCTGAGGAGACATGTCCCCACCACATTTTGAAATGGCTGATTTTGTCCCCACTTTAAGCATTTGTTCAAAATGTTCTGAAAATAGTGAACATTTCTCGGTGCAAGCTAAAAAAAGTAACAAGCTGCTGATTACTGCAGTATATTACGTTATATTTATGAAATGTCACCTGCTAGCTGTTTCTCCATAATAGACATTTTCACCATATTGGAAGCAGAAAATGTCTCCAGGATGCAGGAAATTGTGAAAAGTGTTTAATGCTTCAAACCTCTCCCAGACCCCCGTTCATGTAGGCTCATTTCAGCATTTCCTGTTTCTTCATAGTATTAAAAATCTTGTTGTCACGTCTCGTGGCCCATGGTGTAACATCACGCCCCTAATCTAAGCCCTTATGTCCCCACAACTTTCCAACACAAAGTAACGCCCTTGCGAGACACGTCACGCATTCACCGTGAGACACACGCAATTTCAGCCAGTTCACACGCCACACTTTGTATCCTCGAAGTTGTCATCATCATCATTTCTTCCGAGTTCATAGCTTTATCTGTAGCCTACTAAACGCCAGAGCCGTTAAGCAGGTAAGAAATTAAAATGTGTCGTTTTCGGGTGAACTCTGGAAGTTGGAAGCGCGAGACCCGATGGATGCGGTACCTGTAGGTTCCCCCCAACAGCATTTTGATTTTTCGTTTCCTGGACGAAATCACTTGCCTGTGATCAAAGATAGTGAGAGCGGCTGATGTTGGGGAGTGGAGCCAAATGCGTGCTGAATTATTATTCATGATGCAGTCAAAAACTCTCCAACCTCTTTGCAACCAGAAGCTTTGGCTTTTTTTAGCCAGTTGTGAACAAAGTAATTAGGCCTATTCAGATACTTTTTCTTTTTTTTTTCTTCAAAAACATACATCACTGTAAAATACTCTGCAAGCACTGCATTGAAAAAGTTTTAGTAAAAGTATGTAAGTAGGCTATAAGCAGAAAAATGTAGAAGAAGCCTATTAAAAATAAAAGTAGCCTACTCAAAGCAGAAAGAAAAATGTCCCATATGACTGTTATACTTTTATATATTATATAATTAGATTATTATTCCTTGTGCATTAATGTAGTTGGCTGGGGTTGAACTATTTTGTATCAGACTGCAATTAATGATTATTTTTATGTATTAATCATACGGTATTTCCCTTTGAGATGTGGTGAAGTAGAAGTTAGAAAGTGGCATGAAAAAAAATACTCAAGTTCAGTACAAATATCTTGTGTGCTGAAGTACAGTGTTACTTTGTTACTGTCCACCACTGGGCTTAGCTTTGGCTACCTGAAACTAAGGAAAGGACAAGAGAAGTTTTTCTATATTTTGTCTCTGGACAGAAAGCTATCATCCATCATGATGGTGAAAATGGCTGACCTTGAGACACAGTGCTTCAAGTGGGAGCCCCTTACAAGGCTTGTTCCAATTGGCGATTGGATCGACAATTGAAGGGATGATCAGCAATTGGTTTCGTCATGCGCCAATATTAAGGTGATTTTAACTAGGCTATATATATATATATATATATATATATATATATATTATTTTGGTTTTTGGTTTATGTTTCTCAGTATACAGTATTAAACAACTATATTTCTAATACAATAATAATATGTAATGCAATACATCCTAATTTGTTCCATTCACATTTGGGTTTATTGTAAAATGCTACAACAGCTTTCATTTTGTGCGTGTGTGTGTGTGTACTGTTATTGTAAGATGCTTACTATGAACAGTCTTAGTGGAGTGGTGCAGAATGACTGAGAAATCTGTGACTTATATATGTTGAAACTGGTGTATGAAACTCAAATTTGAACTTGTAAAACATTTTTGTTAATCTTAGAGTGACCTTCTAACAATAAAGCCACAGTATTGGAGCGAGTGAGCTCTCAAAGGTTAATTGGTTACTTTAAAATGAACTGTGGGATGCAAATAAGTATTGCAACCATATTTTAGCTTAACAACATTTAAACTTAAATGTGCCTAGTAACTATTTTTAGTCATGACAATAACTTTAATGCTGATGCAATAGTGCAGCAAAATAATCTTTTGTATTACACACATGTGAGATTGAATCAGCAGAAATATGTATAGTTTTGACAGCAAATGATAAGAGAGATGAGCAAGAAATTTCCATTTTAACATTTTTATTGATTGATTTATTACAAATTTAGAATTATGAAACCATTTTACTTTTTTGTGGTAATTTAAAATGATCAATTGCTAAATTGTCTTGAGGAAAGTGGAAACCGGAGCACCGCAGTAGGTAACACACAAACTCAGAAAGGTTCAGGAGCAGGACATGAACTTTTGCCTTCTAGCAATGCAGTCACACTGCTGCAGTCACACTGCTGAGGTGGCCCTCAGAGGTCCAGTCCTGTCCCACATCTCAGTTAACCAAGTTAACCTCCTGCTAGTGCCTCAATGATGGACAGAGGCCAGTGGAGGAGAGAGTAATCTGGACGTGAGGCAGGACTTAAGCTCTCTATAGAATTCATTTTGAAGGAAAAAAAGAGAACACCAGACATTTTTTTTTTCCTTCAAGATGAATGTTACATTTAAACCATGCCACCACAGTAGGCAACCCACAAACTCAAAAAGCCTCAGGACCGGGGCTCGAACCTTCACCTTTTAGCTATGCGGTCCCACTGCTAAGATGGCCCTAAGAGCTCAAGTCCTGCCCCACATCATGGTAATTTAGAATGATCAATTGCTGAATTGTTTTGAGGAAACAACGAAACAACAATGAGTCATGAACATTTTTAAATCATTTTGCAGAAAACAAACTCCAAAATACTCTCAAAGAATACCCTACAAAACAAGATTTTCTGTCATAGTTGGGCCAGAAACTAGCACATTGCTAAGGTGAAGTGCTTCAATGTTTAACATCTAAAGCGTGTAGTTATCGCTTTGCCCAGAGCTGAGAAGAACTTGCTGATGGAGCTTCTCCTACTGTATGGCTGTGGTTGAAAATAAACTCTCAGCAATGCCGTACAGTTCACACCGGTCCATGAAAACAGCCGCTGTGTGGTTTTCAAATGTGTTTGGGGGATATCAGAAAAACATTTAGGCATGTAACTTTGAATTTCTTATTTGCTTCCTCGATGGTCAGCCAAACTAGTCTTTCTGCAAGTAAACCGATGTCTATTTTTCATCCTGAGGTTTGCATGAATCCTTCATCTTGAATTCACTTTCAATGTCGTGTTCAATATTTTTCAATTTAAGGTCCATCTTTCTCTGAGCGTCTGCGCTGTGATAATTCTGTAGAACTCTGTGTACAACTGTTTCTGGTCAGGTCTACAAAATAATAAATAATTTATCAATTACCCCTTTATATAATGTTCTGTGACCTAACAAAGGCGCGTCAGGAGACTTAAAAGGAATGACTTGTTTGTTCATGACATGACATGTACTTGTTTTTTTTTGTTTTCGTTTAAAAGTTGCTCAAAACGAATAAACCACAAGGAACTTCACCTAATCATTACCTATCCTGTAGCCTACCTAAAGTTGTTGTTCATATGAGGGGGAAAATGCAAGAAAGTTTTGCCTACCTGCCGAGATTTGCATCCACCTCTTTTCTCAGCATAAATGACCGATAGCCTATCACCTGCGAGGAGCATGCGATTCTCGGCAGGCAGGCAGAATTCGGCACAACACCGGCTGCCGGTGTGACAGTTTAAATGGTGGTTAAATTAACTGGTGATAGCCCCAGGCTTGGTTTCAGGATCCATAGACTGCTAACCAGGAAATACGATCCGATATCTACTTAATGTATCGTCATGTAGATAATGTTTCTGAATGTAGTTTGTAGGCTGCATCGTTAGCTGCACGATGATGCACAGGGACCTCATTAAAACACTGCAAAACGTCAATAAACCGTCCAAATGTTCATGTTGTCTGTCTGATACGGTCGGTTTAAATGTGTTCTTACTTACATACGGGAAACAGGCAGAGGTGTTTGACGCTCAGAAGGAGACAGGGAAAATAATATAAAGAAATATAAACAGAAGGACAGGTTTTCTTATACCATCTTTGCTGCATACAACTTTCTGTGCCTTCTCAGACAGGTCCCTCACCAATTAAACATTTTGGACAAATTAAAAGTTTGGAGGACAAACACATGGACCAAAATAATTTTCAGAGCAATTCTTCGTGTGGATCTGCCTAGAAACTAAAGCCTTATGCTGATTGCTGCTCGTCATTTCATCAACTCTCCACCCTCAGACTTCATCACCATGCTGCCAACTGAAGAGCAGAGAGGGAGGCAGGCTCGCTCCCTCTCCTCTCATTCACGCTGCTCAACCCCGTGGACAGTTTACAAGAAGAGGTTTGGCGTAAATGTCAGACTAAACCATCAAAAGAAACTATATTTTTGCGTAACAGTCAACCTTAGAAACCTTTCCTGGGGATAACGTTTGACGCCGTTTTTGCGCTTTGTTTTCTATTGAGTTTGCTGTGGGCGACGGGTAAATGGAGTCCTCTCTTGAGTTTTCCAGCTCCCTGGGCAGCGTGTCCTCGCTGCTGACTCGCTGGCGGACCTTCAAGGTGCTGGTGATCGGAGACTCCGGGGTGGGGAAGACCTGCCTCACACACCGACTCTGCGCCGGAGAGTTCCCCAGCAGAGCCGAGGCCACCATCGGGGTGGACTTCCGCGAGAGACTTCTGGATATTGATGGAGAGAAAATTAAGGTAACTGGTGAGGTTTATGCATCACTTCAAACAACACAACGAGACGGAGGAGAAATGCCTTTTTACGCACAGTGGTGGTCCTCCAAATGTTTTAAAAACCGAGTGCTAATAAAGTTGTCCTTGAAGATTGGCCCTTTGGGGTTTTATGTTAATCACCTGCAATTATCTAAATGAATTGGGTGGTATTCAAAGGCCCAATTCAACTAAAGAAAAAAATACTGAACCACCTGCAACTGCTTGTTGAAAAGAGGACAAAATAGTCCTGTGCTTTTAAAACTTTATCATGCTTTATATTGCATTTATCTCCCCTGTTGGCTCTAAATGTTCTAGAGGCTCTTAAAAAATGTCCTGCACTGCAGTGTGGCTCTGCTGAATTCACACAGAGTTATTTGTCCCAGACTGAATGACCCAGAGAATTCTCTGGATGGCAGAGCTGCCTGAGTTTGCAGGACTAATGCAGCCTGTAAGTCACTGTGAGGATTGCATGCTTCTTGATTATAGTGGCATTTTTGCTGTTTACATCAACAGCCTCATAAATCATCTGATTCAGCTTAGATTTTTTTAATCCTGCAGTTGTGATGTGAAGTTTAATTTGAACGCATCTTGTAAACACAATAAGGGACTCTGCCTATTTCATGATTCTATATTAAAACTGTGGGTGTTAGTTGGATTGTGCTATTTCCTGAGTGTTTTGAAACCACCACATGACAGAGGAAGTGCCCGCTAGTGTGGATTTGTTGATATAGGGTAGAGGCGATTTCGAGCTTTGTTTCCAGAACAATAAATTGATAAGGTGATTGGACAGTCCTATGTGTCTTTGGTTCACAGTGAATGTATAATGTAAGAAAGGTCCCAGGTTCTTAAAAAAGTACTTGGATGTTGAACAAAACTTGATCACAGTAACCAGAGCTGTTTTGTTAGACCTCTTGGGCAAGTCCAAGTCAAGTCTCAACACAAGTCTCATGTCAATCAAGGTAAGTTAAATAACAAATCTCAAGTCACAAGTCCTCATAAGCAAATTCACAGTGTGTTGCAGATTTTTCTGGTCTCCAAAGGCTGACGGTTAAAATGACTGTATCTGTACGTGTTTACTGTGTTTATACAAAGTTGAGACTGAGTTCTTTTAAAGCATAGACCTAATTATCAAATAGTTAAGTGTGTGGCTGTGCAAGGCCGGTCCCTCGTCAGTTAAAAAAAATCTGTTGTCAAATGTATTATTATTTTAGAGAGAGCCACATAGTTGATCCCTGATTTGAACTGACATTAAGAACTTAATTTATCTCATTCAAAGAAACCGTGACAAAGCCCAGCAGAGAGATCTGACTTTCTAATGATCAGATCAACTTGTTGATTCCTTTTCTTTGTTCCATTTCAGTGATGACACATCGCGCGTGTGTGTGGGAGTGTGTTTTTTCCCCTGGTTTGGGGTATTTCAACACACGATTTCTTTTCCCAACCGTGCCTTCCTCCTTATTCATTTCCTCTTTCTCGTGTTTTTGTCTCTACCACCTCCTCCTCTGTGCCAGCTGCTGAGAGAGAGAACCTACACGCAAATGTCAGTCGCTCACTTTCTCCTTTTCATTTTCCCTCCTCGCCACCAGCTCCAGCTGTGGGATACAGCGGGACAAGAGCGTTTCCGGAAGTCCATGGTGCAACACTACTATCGTAACGTCCACGCTGTGCTCTTCATATATGATGTCACCTGCCCTTCCAGCTTCAGCAGCCTGTCTGCATGGGTAGAAGAGTGCAGGCAGAACTCCCTCGGACAGGAAATCCCCAGGTAGCTACATCAGCTCTCTGCATGTACTGCTACTCACTAAAGGACAGGAGTCTTTGATTTAATCACATGGAACACTTCTACTTCATCCTACGACCATATTACTTTTTTTTTTTTGTGTAACTCTTAATATCATCTCCCTTTATTTGTCCCTTTCTGCTACCTATTCTCCTCCCAGGTTCCTGGTGGGTAATAAGAGTGACCTCCGTGACCCCCACAGGACGGACGGCCAGGTGGGGCAGGAGCGAGCGATGAGCTTCGCCAAAGCCCACGGCATGATGTTTTTTGAGACGTCGGCCAAGAACCCGCCAAACAAATGTGTGACCGGTCGCCGGGGTAACGGGGAGGTGCCGTATCAGCAGGATAAGGTGGAGGACATCGTTGTTGCTGTTGGTGCCAAACTGAAGAGGCAGAAGAAACCTTCAGCGGTGAACACCCTGACGTACAGCGGGTCCTTTAAACTCATAAACAAGACAAACCCAAAGAAAGAGCTGTGGACCTGCTGCTGAGAGAGAGACAGAGAACTGTTGGCCTTTTCAAATGGAAGAACATGACTTTTTAGCTCTTTATGAGTGAATGACCACATTGTGCACAATTTTCATTTTTGACCAAAGACACCAAAAATGCAAAACCTTTACATTTGAAATACATTTGCTGTTACTCCCACACACAACTTTAATATTTATACTCTTAACTAGATGTCCTTCTTGGAAGTGTTGTGTATATTTGTGATCTTCTTGTTTACAATAGCTGCAAAATAAAGACTGTGAATGTAAACATTATTCTGAGCCAACTGACCTTTTAGTGCGGTGATTATGTGTTTATTTTAGCATGTGTGGGAACTACTGGGAACTAGCTGTGGCTGAGTGTGAATCCCCTCACAGTATCAGAACACTATCCACTATCGGGCAACTCAGTTCTGTGAATGCAGAGTTGGTGGTGTGAGGGTTGAAAATACTGTTCATTAGCAGAGTAGCTCCGTAGCTATTAAATCTGGGTTTAATTACCTACGAAAGATGGACCTTGGCTGACGTGAGGCGTCCATGTTTGTTCACTCTTACAAATTATTTAGCGCAAACTCAGATAAACTGGAGTTCACAGAAGAATCTGTTCCCAAGTCAAAATCATGATTTGGATGTTGACATAAATGTCAGAAACTACAAATGAAACCAACTGAAATATGATTTTGTGGTGGACCACAATTTGACCAGCATCATGTGAACACCATGATGTCACGGTAGAAAAGGGGCTATAAACATACACAGCAACCTCTACTCGCTTTCAGCCACCAACTGTCTTAGGCCCTGTAACTATTTCTATAAAACTAGCTCTGCTAAACGTTAGATCTCTAGCTAACATACTTTTTGATGAATGACCTTATTACAAATTAAAACTTAGGTGTTATGCTTTTAACTAAAACCTGGTTAGACACGAATAACAATGCATCTCTGACATCTGTCAGCGAGACAGGAAAAAAGAGGGGGCGGAGTCGCCACTGTTCACTCAAAACTGTTTTGCGATACAAAGGTGCACCTGGGTAGGTTTTCATCGCTTGAATATCTTGCCCTTGTGCTCCAGGCAGAACAAGCAATACTCATTTTAACATTATTCGGGCCTAAACAGCTGTTTGTATTTGTCCCATTATTCTCCCAGCTGGCTGCGCTTCTTTTCACCAAATGTAATCATCTTAAAGGGAGACTGACTCTAAGGCTATGAAACTTAAACTGTGAAAGCCTTGAAAGTGGAAAAAAATATTATTAACAAAGATTACATATTTACAGAGACTGCTACAGTAATACTGGACACATTGCCAGGAGGGCTATACTTTTCTGAGATCATTACAGTTCATTTCCTACTATTGACAGACAGTTGAATCCTTCCCCCCCTCCTGACCTCTGCCCCTAGATGAGAGGAAATTGCAACTTATTTTAACAATAAAATCACAACCCTCAGAGCTGGCATTGCTAAATCTGCCTGTGACCCGTGCATTCAACCTTGTGAAAGGCAGGCAACCATGAGCAAACTCACCAGCATCTCAAGCCCGAAACTTTGCAAGATTGTTACTCTGAGCAAACCGTCCTCATATCGTCTTGACCCCGGTCCCCTCTCTACTCTTCAAGAGTCTCTCAAACTCTGTCTTAAACATTTTAAACACATCTCTTGAAACTAGAGTTTATCCGGAGGCTTTCAAAACTGCTGTTGTGAAACTTCTACGGAAGAAGGGTTGTCTAGACTGTGGACTGCTAACAAAAACAGAGAGAGAACACATCACTCCAGCTACACTGCGCTGACTCACTGTTGCCTCGAGAATTGATTTTAAATTAATTAATTTTTTGTGTACAAAGCTCTCAACAGCTTAAGACTGGCCTAAATCACACATTCCCTGTTGTTTTATATTCCTTCAGGGTCCTCTACTGATGTTTTTTAGTTACACAAAACTGCAGAAAAAAATGGAGATGCAGCTTTTTTTCAGCTATGCTCCCAACTTGTGGAACAGCTTACTCAAATATATTAGAGAGGCAGGCTCTGTTTAAATTTTAAACAGCACTTTAAACAGATCTCTTTAACCTAGCTTTTTTCTAGCACCACTGCTTATGACATGCATGCATCACGTGGAGTCCCACATGCCGTTTTTAAATGGACTTTTTTATGCCTTTAAATGTCCTTCTTTTGATCTTTCAAATGGCTTGCTGGCTCTGTAACGCTAAGCACTTTACCTTTACCTATCTTTTCTCTTTAATTTGTTTCCTGTTGTTATGTCTTTTTAAATGTAAAGCACTTTAAACTCCCCATGTGTAGAAGAAGTACATCTCTGACTTTGGTGCTCCCAGTAGTCCATCAAAATCAAAACACAGCACACACTCTTCTCTGACACACCATGCCTTATTCAAGTTTTTAGCTATTCTGCCTTTACTAGTGGTGATACTACAAAGGGCACTGTTCCAGTCAACAAAGCACAATGCTAATGCACATGTAGATTGAGCAAATTGTCACAAATCATTTGATTGGATCCGCTTATGTAGGCTATATGCTAGATGAGTCATCACAAGTATTAGTATTTTTGCATGAAGAGAAAGGAGCTGGATTTTTAAATATAAGTATTATATATGTATATAGTGCCACTCTTTTAACATGTATTTGACAAAGAGATCGCAGAACAGACTGCCCACAGTGCAGTCATGCACCGGTCTTGTGCATGAGCAGTGTGGGCAGTGTGGGTGTTGGAAATGTATCACATGTGTTGTGATTCTGTGTCCAATCGATGATTCAGAGGTCTTCACATGATGAGGGCAAACCTCCTCTGGTCATTGGTCTAGACAAATGTATATCCTGCAACACAACAGGGGTAACGGCAGCCGGTGTGTGTGTGTGTTCACATGCAACTGTCATATTGGTGCAACATTCGACAGCCAATTGGTAGATGTCCCTCTCCAGACTCAGGAAAGACTAGAGGAGCGGATGTCCCACGGCAGTTCTTTTATGTTCGTCTAATTTGTAAATTTATAGAACTCTAAAATAAAATGCAATGTACTGAATTAGTGGGAAAAGTGGAAATAATGTGTAGAAAATAAAAAATCCTTTATTTTGCTGACTATTTAATGTTATCATTTCAGAAGCGTATTTTTGGCCATCTGACAGTCTGTAACAGATACTTAAGAGACGGCCTAGTTAAGTGAGAAAATGAACAGAACAGCACTGACACAGTTAGAAACTGGGAGCGTAGAAAGACATGGGAGTTTATCGGGCAGGAAGAGACTTTTCAGAAGACACAGTGGAGTTGCAATACGGGAAATGTGGGATCCAATGTTTTTAGAGCTTCAGCACAACTAGGGAGTAAAAGTCAGGATATCTCTACGTCTGCTGCTTCGATTTTGACCAAATACATTTTATATGTGTCTGTTTTTTCATCGCATTTACAAATGAAAAGCAATACAATGCCCCTTTTCTAAATTCAATACACTCAGGGATGTTGCCTCTACAGTCCTACTTGGTCTAGTATGACCAGTAGCCTATCGTCATTGGCTAACGCCAACTGTATTGCTGTGTAACTGATAATACAGAGAGACAAGAGTTCTTTCCACTTGTGCTACTGTTACACTAGCACTAACATCATCCTGTACCTGTCACTCCTGGCAACAATTAAGCAAAAGTACATTGTCTTGCTTTAAAATTACTTTTGAAAGTTACTAAATACAGTAAAAAAGAGAAATAGACCATCACAGATGGCTAAATTCCCAAATTTACACTGGTATTCTGTTGGTGTTGTTGCCTGTTCAACCACTGGAGGGCGACAGAGACACTACATGGGAAGCAATTCTAGGTCCTGTTTTGCCTTTCTACAAGCCCCTCATTATGATTTAAAACAAAGAGAACAGCAACTTTCTCCCTCATCTTTCCATCTAGTTTTGGCTTCGACCCTGCCAGTCAGAGTCAGAGCTATACACAGCTGCAGGGCCAGGCTCACAATAGTTTTGAGACAGTGTGATGCAACCTACAGTTCACTGTCTCTTTCCACGCAACAAAATGGGACTGTAATCCACTTTAAACCAGCGTGAGCGATGTCTGATCCCCCACGCAGTCACAGCACGGTCAACAGGAGTTAGTCTCATTTTGGGATTGATTTCAATGGATAACATCAAGTAGATTATACAGTATGTCACATACCTAAAAATATAATATAATAATATAAAGTCAATTTAAATCCATAACATCACAAAAAAATGAATACTTGAGAATATTTATGCTAAAGTAACCCACCGCAGAACTATTGGAGATCTTTCCAGCCTCACATGATTCTGCGTGTGCGCGCCTGTAGGGGGCGCGCTAGTGCACTAATCTGTTCTCTTTTTTTAAAGGGGGGCGTCCTCTTTGCAATCAGCATTGGAGAGCATCTGAGTGCTCCTTCTCATTAATCTTGAAAACCTGCCGCAAACACACGGACACGCACTCGCATAGCTGCTACTGATAACCGAGCGAAGATGTTCTGCAGACGGGCATGGCAGAGAGTCGGGCCGCTGGCACGGAGGGCTTTCAAGCCCACACCCACGAACGGTGAGTCGGGTTGTCAATTACCGACTTCTAAATGGTCCCACCTCATTTGTCACCAAATTAATTAGCGAGATTAAAGTAGAGTTTTTAAAAAAGCGTTTTCGTGCGTTTACCAGCACGTCTGGGCACAAATGCACTCCTTTAAAACGTTTTCTGAATCTCACAGGAAAACTGTTCAAAGTGTGTTTAGGCTACTCGTACAAATCCAATGGCCTTAAAAGTTGATTTCTGAAGCAGAGATTCCTTTCAAATCTTTGCGTTGTATTGGTTATGTGGAAGTAGCCTATGTGAAAAGTCCTATAAAGAGATTCATTAGTGGGTTTTCATTGTGCAGGCAGTCAGGAGGAGGTGTGTCCTGCTTTGGGAACACGCAGTTCCAGGCGCACTGGTTATGAAAGGGCTCATCACAGAATAGGCCTGCAACCTTTTCGTTTTAAGTTTTATAACCAAGTTGCATCAAGTGTACTTTAGTTTTAATGCAGGTGTTTAAGTCTCAAGCACGTACTTAAGCCCAGTATTTGTCAAGAAATAACAATTTATAAGCGATTCTTTGTCTTTTCTATTTTCTCTTATTGGATGGGCCACAGAAGTTCCAGCCCTCCCGAGTATGACAATTATATAAAAATGTTATTTATGCCTACATAATACTTAAAATGTACAGCCAGTGACTTTGCATCCGTTGCACCTGAAATGAATGGGATTTGACACTTGTATTTTTAGGACGTTTTTCCTCTTTTCACGCATCCTTGCGGATCAGCCATTACTTTTGCATCTGAGCATGTGGAATTCAGCCTGAGGGCGAAGTGCTGCTTTAATTTCCTGTTTAAAAAAAAATAAAATAAAAAACGTGTTGAAGCTCTGACTGGTGCAGATGAGGAAAAATTCTACCTGCAATACCAGAGGCGTTGTTTTTGTAGAGTGGAAAAAACCCCAACAAAAATAGCATGTGTGATGGGGCCTCAGTCCTGCCCTGTAGGTCCAAGACTATCCTCCCTCAGTCTGCCTCAGTGAGCACATGGTAGTTGACAGACAGTAGCAGGAGAGCATACATGTCCACACACATGTGTCACTGCTACCATAGCAGCCATTTTGTGTGCTGTTGCCTGACATGCGTGTCCATTTTTACAGGCTTGAACCTCACTGCAGGGATTAACTGATTACTTGTATAAATAACCTGTACTTGGCCTTGTCCCTGCATAGTGCTGCTGTGTCATGGGTATTAGAGGAAGGAGGGAGGATTTACTGCTATGTTGGCTCAGCATCCACAACAGGACTGTGTCCAGCTCTGTTTTGGTTTCATTCAGTTGTCTTTATTCATCACCTGTAATTTAGTGATACTACATTAAATATGTACCTTGAGCCAAGAAACGGGGATAAAACTGGTCAGAAGGTAACAATCTGCCCATGAGCACCTCTAAACATCACTAAAATGTTATATATTATCTTATTTGTTTCGTGAGTACAAAAACCGAACATAAAAAGGACACAGTGTGGGTTTTATGGAGGTTATGTCAGACTGTTTCTTGGCCCAAAAAACACAATTAGTCATTTTTAAACTATGGTTTTTGTACAGATTAAACAAATATGACTGTTAATTAGTGTTCTTTTAGAGGTTGAACAGAGCCAGTGTGGCTAGTTTCCTGTTCCCAGACTTTATGCCAAGCTAAGCTAACCGGCTGCTGGCTTCAGGTAAGTTACATAATTAGCGGACAGACGAGAATGGTATCAATTTCACATCATAGTCACAAAAAATTAGTGAATTGACCAAAATGTCAAACTATTCCTTAAATGAGAAGATTTTTTTCTGAAACAAGTTGTGAACACATTAACAATGTTGAACAGTTTCATATTTAAACATCCAGAAGTTACAGTGTAACATTATCGTGATTTGTTTCTAACCACCAGGTGTATGCAAGTCCAATAGCTAAACTCTTTGTAGCTGTGTTTTTGGTCTCTTCCAGCTCTTAAACGTCAAGCTCTTCAGCTTCTAAACGCTCCACTCTTTTCACCAGCTAGCTGGTAGTTTACAGTGAGTTTTTACTGAAAATAAGATGCCTAATCCAGACAATGCTGTGAAAGTGAACCAAAACATTAAAGTTGCGTGCGGCCAACGTCAAGTGTGACCGTGTGTTGGATTGATGTAACTTGGAACAAGCCATTGTTGCTATTAAATTTTTTTTTTTTTTCCCCAATTGTTATGATTTGTGAAAACGAGGCCAATTACCTGACATTATCTAGATGCTGCATATTTTTATTACATTTCTGATAGCCTGTCTCAGAAATAGTGACCTTTTTGGTCTGAGAGTAAAAAGGTTGCTGCATCCAGTAATTATCAGGTACTTGGTGTTTCTCTCACCTTCTTTAAAGGTGCAGTGTGTAAGAATTCAGACTATTCTCCACCTGTTGAATTCATTCTGGGTGAGCGGGCAACAGAGCCAGGCTCAGCAGCCTCCCAATGAGCACAGCTGGGCCTGTACCGAATACAGCCTTCAAAACCAACAGGGCTAGTTTGACAACTAGGAACAGCACCCAGGTAATTTACTGCGACTCTGACCAGGACCCTGACTTGGGGACTACAAAGACGCACTCCTTTTGGCATTGTCATTTGATTTATTATTAAAATATTGGTTTAAAGGTGTTATAACTTTTAATGTGAAGATAAAGGTGTGGTATTTGTTTTAGGCCATTTTATTGAAGGGTAAATGAACTGGGTCTTACAAATGTGTAATCTATGAAATGGTAACCTTTTACCTGTGATGCAACACCAGCTCCTGTAAAGTTATTAAACAAATGTTTTAATGATAGGAAAAGCCACGCGACAATGCAGGTGGAATTTGATTTCGGTACAGTATGTTTAAGCTCTGCATCATGTGTATACACCACAGATGTTTGTGAAGCGTTTGGTCTTGGTGGAGAGTGACCTGTAGCGCCTCCCTGAGGGGAAGGCGATGGAAGAGGTGGCGAGCAGGATGTGAGGGGTCGCAGATGATTTTCTTTGCTCGCTTCACAGTCCAACGTGTAAAGAGGGAATCAACTGAGGGCAGTGGTTTTCCTATGATCTTGGATGCTTTGTTGACAGTCCGCTGTAGTTTTTTCTGTGTTTGACTGTCTGTGCTACCATACTGTGATTGATGATGTAGTAATGGACTCGATGATAGCGGAGTAGAACAGAACAAAGAGTTGATGATGAGAGCTGTCGGTGCAAAAATCACAGGATGAGTTAAGATTTGCCTGGACACATCATGAAATATGGGAAGGGGCAGAAATTGGCAGCGTGTGCTGTACATTGTGTTCTTTTGCTGCTTCAGACGGCCTCCTCAGCGGCATGTGCACATACAGAGGATGTCAATCATTCTAAAGATGGTAGATGTACTGTAACTTTTGGTGTTGCTGTTTAAGGTCTAGTTAGAGTTTGGACTCGGACTGTGTTTGGGATGCAGGGTGGTTTTATTTATGGCCTCTCCTGCATGCACCACTGGCAGTTCTTCTTCAAACACTAACAAATCTCTTCACAGGGCGCACTGGCTCCAGGCAGCCACACCCACCTGCACACACCACAACAAAATAGCCTATTAATTATTCACAGATCCTCAATAAGTCCTGACATGTGTCAAGAGAATAGTTCCTATGCATTGTAACCCACTAGATCATTTTAAAGTTGTTTATTTATTTTCTTTGTGTTGCAAGTTGAACATCGTCAGGCAGGAAGTGTTCGTGTGTGCTGGGGATTTAATCTAAGGGACAGTTTGGTGTTTAGCTTGGCTGCTGCTCCATCTCCTCTGATACAAATGAGCTGGGCTGCATTGTGTAACTGGATTAAGGGATGGAGACATGTTGACGTTATCAGAGTGCACTGACCTTTGTGCAGAGTCATACTTTTATTGGGACGGTTTCTTCAAAACGCCCACAAATGATCAAATGCATATTACATTCTCTTATCTCAGATTTCCATTCCAACTTTTTTTAATCTTATTAATTTCAGCACCATGTAAACCCCTTTGCTAAAGGTCAGCTGCGAATCAAATTTCCAAACTAACTCTGCGCTGCTGTCTCTCAGCAGCTCCAGTGCGATACATGGCCTTTGGGGTTCCTGGTGGTTCCACCAACATGGCGTACTTTGTTCTGTGTGGAGGAGGCCTCACTGCTGCAGTTGTCTATGTGAGTATCTGTGTGACATTTCACCTTCAGCCTTGTTGTTGATGACTTGGAAGTCTGCACTAATACCCGTCCTCCTGCTGTGATTTCATGAAGTGTTGTCCCACTTAAAATCTGTCCTTAAATATCTGTGCGGATATTGGGTGGAATATTACGTGAGTGCTCCAATGTAAATAACATTTAAAAAGTGGGAATTAGTCTTTCCCTTCTGTATATACTGAGAACATGAAGTCCAATGTCAATATTAAAATTATTTAATTAAATTTCAATGTCCTTTTCCATTAGATGTTTGACAAAATGTAATATTCATAATAAGGGAAGGGTGGAAGATGAAGGATTCTGGTCAGTAAAAAAGGGTGGGAGAAAAAAAAACCCCATCTTGCCTACAGGTTGGTATAGACAAGATTGATTCAAAGAAAACAATAGAAAAGCAAACTGTATACAATCTTTATTTCATATAGCCTTAATTTCTGTACTTTATATTAATATCACAGGACATGTATTGGTAACTATACATTTCTTATCCAATGGAAACATTACGGTACTATGCAGCAAAATAATGCAGATCTGTTGATTTTCCTGCTGTGCCAAATTGTGAAATTTATGTTAAGTAGACTTGTTATGTGAAACTGAGCCCAGAAAGCACATAGTCCTATACTGTCACTCTACGATCATGTATTAATACTTTACATACACTTGGATAAATGAAGGTTGGCATCATCCACAAGATATGTAACGACTGTGTAAGGACTACCCAGTCCTGATTCCAAACCATAGAGAGCTGCGCTGGCTACTTGTGATTGTCCCTCTGTACTTTGACAGTGTTGTGTCGTGGCTGCATATAAACTGGGAGCCAGTTAAATACGCAGCCTCAGGACAGACTGGTCTGCGTGTAGCAGACATCACCACAGCTCAGACACCGAAAGGTCCTTTGCCCAGACAATAGCTGTGTGTAGAAAGCACACATTTGTTCCTGTTTACTGTCTGACTCAAGCACATATCAGCTGTGGTGGTTCATGTTAGACAATGTCATTGTAAGTTGGTGTTTTGAAATGCTGTTACTGTTTAATACTCTTATCTGTTGTGTGCTGGAATATAATAAGTGCATATCTGCCTTCTTTTCTCTCAGGCCTACAAGACAGTCAGTGGTGATAGTGAGCGCTATGAGGACAGACTCTCCAACATGGGCTCCACAGCAAAGGGTCAGTTGCTGACACACACACATGAAATTCCCACTCAACCTCCTGAGCACAATTTGCATTTAGCATGCTAACATTTGTTAATTAGCACTAAACACAAGGTCTGTTAGTTTTGCAGATATTTGGTCATAAAACCAAAATACTGGGCCTATTGTTGACCTGATGATGCCTAGTTGAAAAGTTAAGGGATCACCAAAGTTATTACAATTCATCCCCTGGGGATCATGAGCGTCAGCTATCCAATTGCGATATTTCAGTCTGGACCCAAGTTGTGGACAGGCATCGTCATCCCTAGCATTGCTAAAGATAAAGACTACATACAGTTTGTCTGTCTAGGGGAACAAAACTGGATACAGAAAGCCAAAGCAAGGTAACTTTAAAAATATTAAATAACCAATTTGATCACCGCTACACAAGAATATTGTAAGGTTTTTTTGAGGCATTTCATGAAAGATTGATAGTACTACACACAAGAAGGTGCAACTCACGTTTGCCAGATCAGTCATACGAAAGAGTCAGAGAGCCAGTTTTTAATTCATGAATACACGAATAACTGGACAAACTTGTTTCTGGTTCTAGGAAACTAAAATCAGAAGATCCTAATGCATTTTTGAATCAGTTCTGGCTTCACCACACACATTTAAAATACGGTAGAATGATCACTCTCAATAGCTTTATCTTGCCTGTCTGTTTCGATTTCTGTCTGCAAATTATTTGACTATTCAGCCAGTTTGAGTCCAGAGAGATCATGGCTCTGTGCCCAGAGCAGCCAACTAGTCTGTAATGGGTGGGAAACGCAGCAGCTGCCACTGGCTCAGTTGTGTACATGGAGCCTGGAAGTGTTGTGTTTGGTCTCTAACGGAGCATGAAGCTCTGCTCTCTACAGGGCTAGAGATTGTACTGCTTTGGCTTTAAACTGGCCAGTGTATTATTATGTAATCAAGCAAACATTTCCGGGAAACAAAGTCACAGAAACATCTTGATGTACATGGTGATTAAAGTGATTGTGATCAAGGATCATATTGTCCTGACACATTAATCTGAGGACACATCAGAGTATCATTACAGTGCAATTTAGTGTTCTTGAGCTGTTGAGGTTATCATAATGGACCTAAACAGATATTAAGCTACTGTGTAGAAAGGTCAGCAATTAAAGTTGAGGCATACTGTTGGACACAAGACTGCATTAATAACTTTGCTGTCAGGGCCGATGTTCTCAACTATAGCATTTTATTTTAGCCTGATATTATGCCACATACATTCCTGTGTTGGACCAAGCAGATTTGAAGAACTACAGTTACCCGTTATTTCAAACTCAGATCCCAAGTACCTAAAGCTAGTAACATTTAGCAAGCTGTAGCTTTCCTTTTACAAAGTTGATTTTTTCTGTAATATAGACCATAGCACTACTATGCAAGGATGAGCTAAATCTTGTCTAGTTTCTGCTGCAGCACATGGGGCTGTGCGATATGACCAAAAACTCATATCTCAATATAGGTCACTTTATATTCCAAAAATGATGCATATACCAATAGAACATTTTCTGTAGTCAATTAATAAATAGTTTATATAAAATGACCACATGGAGAGGTCAATTTCTTATCACATTTCGAATTATATACAAATAAAAGGTACTTACTCATATTTGATATTTCAAATTTTATTCAGCAAATCTTCAATTAAGCATGTATGAGTGATAAACGATGGTATGTATGTATCATCATATCACACAGCCCTACTCACAAGTAGTGTGAGTCAACTGTTTCATTTCAGCACAGCCCTGGTGGGGACTCAAACCCCGAACCTTTGAATGCCTCCTCTAATGTCCTATTTATAACACCACTGTATGACTTCAGGCAACAGCACAAATGACTAATTATGTTCCAAAAAAGGAACAATTGTATACCCAAATATTCAGTTTACTGTCACAGAGGAGGAAGAGGGGAGGCGGAAAAAAACAGAAAATATTCTCATTGAAGAATCTGAAATCTCTTTCCTTTTAAAAATAGACTCAAAGCAATAAATTGATTGTCAAAATAGTTGGCAATTAATTTAATAGTTAACAACTAATAGACTAATTGTTGCAGCTCTACTTTACTCATTATGCTGCTTTATCCAGCTCTTATCCTTCAACCCTATGTTACCTATTGAAAGGAGTCTCTAACCAAATACTTCAAATCGGACTTTCATATAGTTTTTATTGCCCAACTGGATTGTTTGGACCTGGTGTGGTCATAATTTTAGATTCTGAAACTTTTTTTTTTTTACCCCTTTGGATTTCCAGTGTCATGAAAGTTTATTTAAGGCCATCAGAAACGTGGTTTTGTGTTTGTTTTTTATTTTATAGGAACCTATATTCAAGCCCAGACAGTGTTGTTCTCAGAAAACTGTAGCTGTGTTGCAAATGTGATTAAATCTTGTGGCACTGATCGAGAGGTGATTTACATTTCTAAACAGCCAAAATTGCCATAGAAATCTAAGGTACATCATATTAGCTGTTCCCTCAAATTAGTTTTGGTTAAATTTATAGCAGTGAAGAGAAACGAGTCCAGAAAGGTTGCTTTAATTTCTGTTCCCAACCTCCCTTAATCGCCAGCTCCAGAGGCAGCAGCTCCGGTACGAGAAGCAGCAGAACCAGAGGCAGCGCCGACCACCGAGGTCGTCACCGAGTCTGTCGCTGCTGCTGCAGAACCAGTAGCAGAGACCGCTGCTGAACCTGTCGTCGAGGCCGTGTCTGAAGAAGAAGCAGCCGCCCCGGCCTCTGAGGTGGTCGCTACTGAAGCTGCAGGCGAGCCAGCAGTCGCAGAAGAAGCTGCTCCAGCTGCAGTGGTAGAGGAGGTTCTTGAAGCTACTCCTGTCAGTGTGGAAGTCGCTGCCACAGAGGAGACGCCAGCAGAAGTCCCTGCAGCAGAGAGCGCTGGTACGGCAGCAGTAGATGAAGCTCCCCTTGCTGAAGCAGAGCCAGTCTCTGCAGTCCCTGAGGCTGAGGCCACCCCTGCTGCAGAGTTGGCTGCATAAAGCTGTGATGGCTCTGTAGTTCGCCCAGAAAGGAGGGCTGGGAGTTAGTTAGTGCTGTGTCCCACCTCTCTGGGCCCAGAAAAAGGACTTATGAACCCCTTTTTTGAGGAGGTGGGAGGGTTGGGTCTTAGTTTTCACTTCCGGTTGGTGAATGAATACTGAAGGGTTCATCAGTCCAGTTTCCGGGTGCCTGGTTTCCCCTAACCTCACCCAACCTTCCCAAACCAGAACATTTGGCATTAGGCTGTGTTTAGATTCAGTTTGGAAAACTTGGTTTCTGTAGGAATTTCTATTACCAGAGCTAATCCAAATAATGGTTTGGCTGCTGTACAGTTAATAGAGACCTAATTTTACTGGGTGAAATTATATTCTAAGTGCCTTTAAATCAGGACAGCCCTGAATCTTCTTTTACTACTTTTTACTTACTTTAAAATTGCTTTTTGTTCTCTTCTATTCACTTCATAACGATTCGCACATTCAATTACTTTAATTCCATTAACATTTTTCTATCTACATCTACAGCAGCCTGCACCCGCTTTATGTTACTGATCATAGTTTTGACATCGTTACAGTTTACCAGCCACGTATGTGACTTTTTGTGCCTTTTTTTTTTGTGTGTGTGTTAAACTTACTTCTGCTGTCTCTTTACTGTGAAACTTTAATCTGTCAGGGAACACTCCAGAAAATGTGTTCACCTCTGTCTCTGAGCAAGTTGCCATTATGGTTAATGCAGTTAAGTGTTCAAAGAATAAAACCTCACTGGATTGATATAAAGAAGTTTCTTTTGAGGTTGCTTGTGTGGTCATTGTATGATTGAAGCTATTTTTTTGTTGTTTGCATTTGTCAAATTCTATAGGTTGTAAATAACTAGTTTAGAAAAAGTATTTAATTTGGGGCCGATCCAAAGAAGGTTTAAGTCAAGCGCAACTGGACTTGGTTGAAGATACTAGAATTTTGGGTGGAATTATTTTTCAGCGACCCTTTTAGCTGCTTGTGCTTGTTGTTTTTGTTTTTTTTTTGTGGTTAACATTGTATTGTAGGTGTAGAAACACCCATTTCCTGTTGAAATTATCCCTTTCCTGAAGAATCCCTGTCATGTTCATGCTCCTGTGCCTTCAAGCTGAAGATTTGATCAACAATAACCTAAATAATGTTTTTGCTGAAACTGTGTTGCCCAGGATATTGTTTGGTTTTTTTAATGAGCACATGACAACACTCAAAAAATTGAGAAATGAAAGGAGGAGTCTGCGATCTATCTAATCAATGAGCGATCACAGAATGATTTCTGTGTGCAACATAAAACGCAATATAAAAATCTACCCATCCTCACCCCTCAAGTTTTTGCAGTATTTTGATCTGTCATGGTTGTACAGAGGGTGGGAAAGCACTGTAGACAGTCCTCAGTAAGAAACTCAGGTGGGTGTGGCAGTGCAGTTTAAAGCAGTCAAACGGGTTAAGACTAATCCTAGATTACAGTGCCTGTTTTAGGGTGTCCTGGTGGCCAGACGCCTGGCACCCCATTGTGGGACATCATGGGACATTTGTTGATGGGAACACAAGGTTGTTTACAATCCAACAACAATAAATGCCATGTAATTAAATTATTTGTACGTTGTATGGGGATCATCATTTCTGATATCAAAGGGTTTAATCCATGTGTTAAACACACAAAAAAACTTCGCGTTCTCCAATTAGAGTATGACGACACACTAAGAGGCTAGGTGTGTTTTCAAGTTCCTTTTTTCACACTTTTTCTAAAGGTTACACCAGCAGAAGGAGCATGAACTGAGCAGGTAGTTTCCTGTAGAATATTTCCTGAACCTGTGGTGACTGTAGACCGTCCAGTTATAGACACCTGGTCCGGGTAAGTGGAGAGAGAGACTGTGTGTGTGTGTGTGTGTGTGTGTATAAATAAAAGCTGTAATCCTATTTTTACGTGAAGGAATTCACTATGGCTGCAACAAATTATATATTAATTGGTTAAAGAATCAGTAATCACTTGAGGTTGTGAAATGTCAAATGTCCATGTTTTTAGAGCCCAATGTGATGTCTTCAGATGTATTTTGTCTCTGTCAAACAGTCCAAAACCCAAGAGAAAGATATTTACAATCATTCAAAATACAGAAAAGAAACAAACCATCACATCTGAAAAGCTGAAAAAAGTAAATATTTGGCATTTTTGTTTAAATTAATTCAACTATTAATCAATTATCGTAATTGTTGCATTTATTTTCTGTCATTCGACAAATTACTGGCTTGAGTGAAATTGTATAATGCAGAGAATGCAACGCTCCAATTTTACTTGACATGTCTTGTATGGCACCAGGGTTCAAACAGAGATAAAGACATTGCTGTTAAAGCATTTTTACTGCACATGGAGCTCATCTATACTCCGATATTAGGAGCGGTTGGAATGTGCTTATATTCTATATTTCAATTTCTCAGCCACTACTTCCTGTCTCTTCCTATCCGTCAGAGTCTTTGCCAGATATGCTCACAGCTGTGAAGGTCTTGACCGGCTCTACAGTTGAGATTGCAGCAGCTTCTGTTTGTGAGACGAGTCTTGTGAAAGCTGTCCGGAAAATAGAGGGAGATGGAAAAGGTTTGGACTCCACACTGGAGGTGGGAGAGCCCGAAGTCCAGGAAGCAACCGCAGAAGTGGTAGCTAAAGAAGCAGCTGAAGAGGCGACTGTTGTGAATGAGGAGGAGGTGACGTCTGCAGAGGCTGGTGCTGATGCAGAAGATACAGAAGCTCCGGGTCCTGAAGACTTGATTAAAGAGGAGACGTCATCTTCTGTAGTAGCAGAGGAAGAGGCAGCTGCACCTCGGTCTGAGGAACCTGCAACTTCAGCCCCTATAGTAGAGGTGGTGGGTGAGGTTGAGGCAGAGGATCAGGCTCCAGTACCTGGAGCTGCTCCAGAGGATGAGACGGAAGCCTCACTTGAAGATGCTGCTCCTGCTGAGGAAGCTACACCAGCTGAAGAGGACGCCACCTCTGCCGAAGCTGCTCCAGTGGATGAGACATCACCAGATGAGACGACACCTGCTGCTGAGACATCAGTGGAGGAGGCAGCAGCTGAAGCTTCTGCAGTGGACGCCGTTGAAGCTGTAGCAGTTGTGGACGCGACTCAGCTGGCAGCCGCCTCCTCTGCGTCAGACCTGGAGCTCCTTTCAGCTGCTGCACCAGAATCTACATCAGAGGCTCCAGTACAGGAGGCCAAGCACTGCCACTCCTGCCACCCTGCTCCATCAGCAGCAGAGGAGGTGGCGCCACCTGCTGCTTTGGGGGGGCAGCTGGCCAGTGAGGTGCATGAGGCCAAGGAGGCAGAGTTACTGGTTGAAGGACAAAGTAAGAACATACTGTATGAACTGCCTGTCAAGTTTTTGAACACCCCATAGTTCAGCATTGTTATGCTACTATACTATAATGTTACACTTTTCTGTTCCATGTAAATGAAGTAAATAGTGGTAGTAAAGGATGACAGGACTTTGTTTTAAATCAAGACCCTGGTCCCAAAGACTGAAGTAAGATATAATTGTTTTTGTACTGTCCCTAACCACATATTATATTCATTATCTGGATTCCAAATGTACACAATGTAGGTTTAACCCTGTTTTGAAAACGACTAATGAATTACACCCAAAGTTTTACCTTGTGTCCACCTGTAAGGCAATACTTAAAAAAATAGACTACGATAAGATAGGGTAGGGCGAGGAAGGTCGCCCTCAGATCTAATTTCTGTTCTTTCTTGACAGTAAGACAAGTATAGTAAAAATATTCAGTCTGACATCACAAATCATCATGTGGGCAGCAAACACACTGACTTGTTAAACACAGGGGTGACTTATTTTATTTAATGTGCCAGTGTCAGGGTTGTACATGCTGGCTCACTGAAATGGCATTAATAATACACAATAACTTGAACTGAGCCATTGTTAACCTCGTTAGTTCCACCTGTGCATGTCCTTCTGTGAGAAAGGTCAATGAGGGTTTTTTTTGGTAACTATATTAAACAAACTACCTGAACAATGGATGAATTTGTTTCAACAAATTAAAGGCTTATGAACAAAAGAGAACTTGGGTAATCTTTAATAAAGGTTTTAGAGTTGCTACAGGACCAACTGGTCCCCTCTCCCAAAATCAGTTTGCATGTGGACAATTTCTTAGGCTAACTTTCAACATGTGCTTCTTTTGTTGTGAGCTGCGTTTACCTTTTAATGATGACAGCTACAGCAAACACCTCCATTTTTATATTAAAGGGCTTTTAAATTGGAAAGCTCTCAGATCCTAAGGACTCTTAATTAGTGTTTATGAAATGCAGGCGCACTAAAGCGACCACCTAATTAAATACAGAATGTAAATGTAAAATACGTCGACATGTTTTGTTTACAGTTTAGTGCTAATTGACTCTTAATAATAGGATATGTAGTTTAATGTTCCAGAAATTGAACTGAGCATCACATTAGTACCACACAATAAAGAAAACAATGTGGCTAAAGGGATTACCACTTTACTGTGGTGCAGAGTCTACTCTATATTTGGCTCTGACCAGATGTATTTCTGCCTGTATCCACAGAGCCAAAGGTGTCTATCTGGACTGTAAAAAGCTGCTCAGTGATGTAATAGTACAGTTAAGGTAAATGGTTAAGATGGCACAGCTATAAAGACAGCTGTCTGTGTAGACACTAGTGACAGTAGAATGGACATCTTCAGGATAGGTATTATTAGCAACGTTTTAGATGCTCAGACTTGGTGAGGACAGTGTGACTCGTATACACTATTACTACACTTTTCTTTGCTCTAAATCCTGCTGCCCATGTCCATTCTACTTATTTAAGCTCTAGTGTAAGCAAAATACAGTAAACTCTGCATTTCTACCATTGAAACTGGGTTGTGCTTGTTTGTTGCAGCTGCAGAGACTATGCTGGTGGTGACAACCCAGTCATGACATGAGACAGTGTGCCTTCCACAACACTCGCTTATCTGTCAACCAAGCCAGGACGACCGATGAAAACAACACGAGGAGAACTAGCTAATGTGTCCTTTTTGAAATATTATCAGTTTTTTTTTTTTAAACGTTCCCTTTCCTTCTGATCAATCTTTTATTAGCATTTGTGAAATGATTCCCATTGTGTCAGTTGCCCGCTAGGTGCCACTATTGCAAAGCTTTTCATGACCAGTTGAATAAAACACAAGTTCCTGTCGAGGTGTTTTAGTAGACAGTGGAGGTGGGTTTGTTTTTGTTTTAGTGTAATGTTTTGATAGACTGCTTTTCATAGATATTGACTAATTAGCCTATGTTGAGATATTTAAGTGTTTAAAACACTTTTATTGTGTTCCTAATTTGAAAGAGATACAAACCTACAAGAAAACGTCACAAAAATACCAGTGACAAATACTTCATCAATGCTGATACTAATAGTATATCCATAAATCAATTTTTTCTTCTACAACTTATTATTATATTATATATTATATTACAGTAACATGCCAAGATGCTAAGAGTTGTAAATTGATTCTTTGTTTTAAATATTTAATTGCACTGTATAAATGTTCATGTTAGCTATATATTATATTAATACATTATAGTTAATATACCCCTTTTTAACTTGGCTAATTACGATGTCTCTGTTGTCATGATAATATGCTCAGATAGACACTTTAAATAAAGTGATGTGTCAACATTTGAACTCAATGTAGCTGTGTGTGAAATTATTTATGTGTTAACCGGTGTTATTTATGAACTTGGCAAGGCATTGCGCTGTAGTGAATTTAATGTGCGCTGGCCACTTGGTGGTGACATATCTGTTATTTGATTGTGTGTTTTAGCCTATCCGCTTTTTTAATAAGGAGCTTTTTGGAATAACTTGTGACCATAGTGACATGTTGCAAAGAGAAGCAAGAAAATACATTCTTATAAAATTACATATCATGCCTTATCATCTGCTCTGGTTATGGTGCGACGGGAAAAGGATTCAGTATTTAGTAACACTTGGCAATAAATAAAAAAAACAAACAAAAACAGAAATGACTTTATTCTGGTGAGCTCTGTTTGTTGTACGCAGTGACGTCACGAGTGTAATTTGCCTGAACAAGCGGAGAGTAAACTGACAACCGGGTCGGTCTCGCGGAGGAACAGACTGTCGCTGTCGCCGCGTGAAACGCCAGGGGCGCCGAGGTCTGTCCCCTCATCCGTCTGGCTCCAGGGCTCCTCATCATTAATACAAACCGCTAAAGTTAAGGCTAGGTTAGCTAGCATTTTGGTTAGCAGCGGGACTCCTCAGCCTGACAGTTGACGGCTGCGGTGGGATCAGAGGAGGAGGAGGAGAAGGAGGAGGAGGAGGAGGAGAGGTTCCACACTCACAGCAAACTCTCATTAGCCAGCTAGCTAACGTCAAGTTGCTGCCTGTGAACTAAGTTGGTCGCCAGCAAGGAGCAACAAAAGGGACTTTGACGGTAAGTGAGCTGACGTTAGCCAGCATTAGCCGCACGGCTCGTTGTGCTTCTTTCCTGACAGCTTGTTTTCTGTCACAGTGCTAACTAAGCTAGCTAACGTTAGCCGAGTGAATGTCAATATTCAGCTCCTGTATCTGTTCTGTTTGCTTCTTGTGTGCGACGGAGTCTCCGAAATGACGGTTCTTGGAAATGCGTTTTATAGCACTGAATTTCGTGACCAACTGCGCATACTCAGTAAAATCAGGTGAATGATGCACGAGGTAATAATTCATTGATAAGGTTAGCTGCATTGGAGAGCAAAGGTATGATTGCAACAGTGGATTCCCTCTGTGAGTCCTTGTACGTCAGTCAACTGGGGGTTGTAATGCCAATTAACTTTGATCTAACCTCGCTGCTTTTTATGTGCCAAAGGCAAACGCGATTCATGTCAACACACACGGAAAATATATTGGCTTTGTAGGATAGCAAGTGTGATATTATAATCCAACCATATGATGTAGTATTAGATGGTGATAAGTAGGCTTTTGAGGCTGGTGGCATGCTGTCAGGACTTTGTTTGTCGCCTTTTTCCATTTTCTCATTGCTTGTGTTGAACATTTTGAATAGATAATAACTGACGTAAGGATTTACTTCCCTCACCATTCTACTTTGTGATATTCATAAAAATGTAGCTGATTTGGTAAGTGAAAAATGTTGCTTTTCTTGTTAAATGTGTTAACTACTCAAAAAGAATGACAAACATGTAGTAAATTTTTGTATTTTTGATAAGTAATGATGACTTCACAGAGACCTGGACCTGCAGTTTCCAGTGTGAGTTGCAGTGTCTCTGCTTCGTGCTAGTAAATGATTGGCCAGCCTGCCTTTTGCTCAGCTGGTATATCCTGCAGCCTTAGCTAACAGTTGACCTGTTGTCTGAAGGTTTCTGCTGGGTGGTCGCAGTCATGCCTGAATGTTCTGTAATTGGGATAAATCATGAGAGGCCTGCCAAGAAAATACTAGATACAGACACTGAGCACAGGGATGCCAATCAATTGGATTGGACTTCGATGATAGTGGGAGGCTTCGTGTGTTTGTGTGTGTGGTAGAGGTGAGCAGCAGAAGTGACTAATGGGTACAACAAGTTTTGGAATCGATGGCTTCAACTGGCAGCCGCAAAACATCTGTAGTGGCTGCAGTGTATAACTTTGGAGAGAGGAGTTTGTTGTGTAAATAGAGGAACTGCTAGCAAGACTTTAATTCCTAACATTACTCCAACACAACAAAGTCCCGTCTCCAACTCTGACTCATGTTTCCACCTTCGTTTTCCTGCAACAACTCGCCTCTCACAAGATATCGGAGACTTCACTGTCTTGTTAAAAACAAAAGGGTGTTACTGGGAGTCACCCAAAGGGATCCTTTCCATGATGTTGTCAGACACCTATAACAGTCTGAGCCTGGCGGTGGCAAAAAAGAAGCACTTTTTGCGGACGTAATTTTTGACGGGCGGGCGCAGTTGCCTTGAAGGAATACGTTACAACATCTGCAGCCGGTTTGAGGGTGCTTGTTGAAGCAAACTACTGCACGGATTCCAATACCTTTTTATACCTACTAGTCATTTCGACACTCAAGTTTAAAAATACTGAAATTACCCTTTAACCGAAGGGAATGTATGACCCCAAAAAGCTAACTCAGGAGATTAAATGTGACCGTAACACATGACTATATCTTTGTTGCAACTGAGTTATAGTGGAATTTGTCCATGTGTGTATGGGTTGGGTAAATGTCAAGTAAATCCTGAGGTCATACTTGCCATGTATTTGCTCATTGTGCCATCACTGTGTGTGTGTATATGTGTGTGTGTGTGTGTGTGTGTGTTGGTAGAGGGCAGGGCACAAGGCAGGGCGTTGTATCTTTACCAACAGCCTGAGCTACTTGGAACAAAAGCTCTGTTGTTGAAAGATCATGTGACTCTGTGTGTGTTCCACCCTTGTCATGTGATCTGAGCTCAGGGCAGGGTCTGAGAACTGCTGAGTTGCTCTGAGAGGTTCCTTCCACCCAGGGAACAGGCAGACAGCGAGCATGCAGGCAGAGAGAAGAGATGGACGTCCTGATGGATGGATGGATGGATGTCAGGCAGAGAAGAGATGTGGGAGAGTCAGAGAGACAGATGCAGACAAAAGGCCTGTTGCTTTCTCATACCATGGCAAGAATTCACCTCTCTCGTTCTCTTCCTCGTCTCTTTGTGGATTTTTTAACAGCAGCCATGTAAAGATGTTAGCCTGCATCTACTTTTCTGTCGCAAGGCAAGTTTGGACTTTTGTCTTTTTTAATTTTGATGCGTTTGGTGGTGGAAATGTTGACGTGTTAGGATGACTCTGCTGTGTATTGTGAAGTCTTGAGACTGCTGCTGACTCACCATGTAAAGGAATCAAGCTACTCGTCTGCTCTCACCCTGGCAGTCAAAGGTTAAAAACGAAATGAGTTTGACGCCATTACAGTGACACATGTAGCTGTAGCTCTTATCCAGAATGATGTTCATTGCAGCAGAAATATTTTCAGTTCCTGAAATACCAACATGATAAGTAGCTAATTGTAAGGAGTGAAAAGGTGACACCTTTTTTTTAAAATGATTAATTCCTTTGCTTGTAACGTGGCTGGTGTCTGCAGGTAGTTTCTGAATTTAATGGTAATAATACAGCCGCTTAACTCATTTATCTTTGAACTGAAAAGCTACAAAGCAGCCACGTGTTCAGTCGTCTAGCAAGTTCTGTAACATTTGAATCAATGCAGCCTGCAAGTCCTGCTTGACAGACTCAACTCCTACCAGATTGTGTGTGTTTTGATGTTTTTATATCCTGGTGGGGACCTGAATGCACACTAACCGACTTGTGTACTGCTTTTTGAGGGTTAAGACGTGGTTCAGGTTACAATTAGGTTAGGGTCAGGGGCTGGGGAATGCATTTTATCAATGAGATGTCGCCACGGGGATGGAGGAACAAACGTGTGTGTGTGTGGATTGGTTCATCCATATTACATTAACTTGCATTTATTAATTTAGCTGACGCTTTTATCCAAAGCGATTTACAATTGCTAATTGTCAGAGATCGCACACCTCTGGAGCAACTAGGGGTTCAGTGTCATCCTCAGGGACACATTGCTGGATGTGTCACAGTGGGAATTGAACCCTGGTCTCCATCACCACCACCCATATATAATATGTTGTCATTTTAGTGCCAGATCATGGCATACATACATACATACAGGCATCACATACAGGACTCTGCATGTTGACCCTCCCTTTCATACAATGTCTTTCTGATTGAGTTTCTATTAAAAGGACTAGATACTTGGATTACAAAAGCTCAGTGTGTCACAATATCCAACTCCTCCGTGGACTTGCATAACTTCTGTCAGTTAAACAGCAAAATAACGGCAGATGGTGCAGCACATGCACGCACCTCTCTTTGGTAATAAATAGAGATTGGAGGGAGGTGATTTGCTTAAGTAAATGATTTCCTGGGACTTAGGAGTAGCACAAGATGCCTACACCTGTGGATGTGTCACATGATGGCCTACTCCTGAATGCAGACTGCAATTCTGAATTAACCTAACCCCTCCAAACATAACAAACATACAGCTCTGTGGCTGAGTGCTGTATGCTACTGAATAATTGAACAGAGGATTTCTATCAGAGCTAATAGCACGTTGGTCTCGGAAGCGGAGGGAACACCATCACAGCATGGCTCATCCATTATACAGCAGTTAGAGTAACTGAGCATGAACCCATACGCACCATGTTAGAGGAGAAAAAAAACTTACTAGTGAGAAAGACTAGTCTTTGTATGAACAGAAGAATTTGAAGAATTTTCCGTAGGATTATCTTAAAGCAGACGATGGGCTGTAGATGTGGGGAGATGAGAATGGAGTTTGCACTGTTTGGGACCACGTTTATGTTGAAAGTGTAGCGTTGAAATCTTGTAGCTGTTTTTAATGGCCACACTTGCAGCCAGGGTTAAAAGCCTTCCTGTCATAGGTCGGGCACAGACACAAGGAATTGGACAAATAGCTATAATGATGCACTCTTTCAGTTTCTCCTCATTCACAGTAAGGCTAAACTATTAATCAGAATTTTATCAAAATCGCCATATGGCATGCTGTATTTTTCAAATCACAGTTGGTGCAATATTTGTTAAAGGCGTCATATCATATTCTAAAGACTTAAAGGTTCACTGTGTAATATTTCTGAGGATCTGTTGACAGAAATGCAACATAATAAACATAACTATGTTTTCAGTGGTGTATAAAAACCTTACATAATGAACCGTTATGTTTTTATTACCTTAGAAGGAGCCATTCCTATTTACATACACTGCAGGTCCCCACACGGACGTCGCCATGTTTCTACAGTAGCCTAACTGGACAAACGGCTCTACAGAGCGTGTTTCGTCATTACATTGAATACATACAAAGAAGAAGGAAGTAGTAGTAGTTTGTCTTGTTTGTTGGATGTAAAATAGAGAATAGAAATTTGGATAATGGAGGAGCACACTTATCATTTAGCACAAGAGCCGACAGTGTGTCGGCGACAGTAGCTTCTCCTCCACGCTTGCAAAGGGAGGGGTGAGCGGTGAGTGAGTCATTGGTTGCTATTTGCAACCCTCACCACTAGATGCTACTAAAACCTACACACTGAACCTTCAAGAAACATCTTTGTTTTGTACAAATCCCCTAAAAATCTGCCTTAACACTGCTGTTTTAAGGGTGGATGTAGTGAGCGGTCAGTTCTGATGTGGGGGTTTCAGATGCTATAAGCACATTGTTTGATGTAAACTGATACCACCAGTTGCACTTAATGAATTTACATCAAATCCCAGGAGGTAGGTGGTCAGTAAATTAAGAGTTGGTGGCACATCAGATTAAACGCTGTCCTGTAAATCTGCCTTCCCTTTGTCTTATATTCTCTTGTTCCCCAGCAGAGCAGCATGGAACAAGATCTGAGGACCATGTGGTTCTTAGCAGCTGTTAACCATGCTTCCAGTCTGCCCTGCATAGATCTTCCACTGGACTGCGTGTTAGAGGGACTGACTTGGCTTCCTGTCAGTGCATTTCTTCCTGTAAGAGCAGACAGACACTTCCTGTAGACTAACAGCAGAGGAAAAGATTTGAAAGGGATACAAGATATCTCTGCCTTTAATGAGGTCTTGGTCTGCAGTTGGCACAGAGGGTGGAAGGTGTAGTTGCATTTTTTGCTGAAAGTTGGATGAAGAAATTGATACAAAGCCAATTCCAGCAGATAGTTTGCTTAGCCTAGCATGAAGATTGGAAACAGAGGAAAATAACTACCCTAAAAATCTCTACCAGCACGAAGGCAAATAAGCATATTTTTCAAAAGATTTTATTAAGGATCCCATCTGGAAAGTTTTCTGCACGAGATGATTAAAGCACAGGGTCATCTTGATCGAGACACGGCACAGGGCTGACACAGGGAAATAGGCAGACTTCTGTCATCATCAAACCCCCTTTTGACAAAATCTGGTCAGATACTAATGATGCATCACAGACTTTATGTATCAAACAAAGCTTTGTTTACAAAGTACGTCTTCTCTCTCCAGGGGCCTTTGTTCAACAAACTGCTGGAGGCCACGAGACAGCGGTGTGACTGCGTCTGTTGATTCCTGAGGAGCATGAGTCATGACCTCAGTGGTACTGGTCGACACTGGTGGGACGGTGGTGGAGTATGTCGCAGCAGAGGAGGATCCCCAGCAGGTGGGTTGGACACAGACACAAGAAAGAGTAAAACTGCACCTGCAGCTCACAACAGAATCTTCTTTTCTCATTACTGTCTTATTCCTTTATTAAAAAGTTTTTATTTATTTATTTTTTTCACTCTCATGCACTCTTCCCTCTCTCAACCCGTTTCCCCTGCAGGAGGGAGAGACTGAGGTGGACCTGGAGCTTGAAGGTGAGATAGAGGGGGAGTGTGAAGCTGAGGAGGCCTATGAAGAAACACAGGACAGAGAGGAGGCTGAGGACTACCCGGCAGTGATAGTGGAGGAGGTTCCTGGCGCCAGCCTGGCTGAGGAGCAAGGTTACTCAGCCCAGGTGTTTGTGTATGATGACGTGGCCTACCTGATGCAGGAAGTGGGCGATGAGCAGGAGGTAGAGACAGAAGGGGAGGCAGGTGAGACATAATAAAATATGATTTATTGTCGCTTCATAATCTTCCTTTTAGCGCTGTAGGTTAGTGACCCAGATCACAGTCTTTCTTGCAAGACGCAACACTACACAGAAAAGCCCGGAGCAAACCTTGGTTGTTAAGCAACCTGCTTTATCCTTTTACCCAAGGTCCTGAGAAATTTGACTCATGTTTCTTCGCTATATCCTGTTCCCATTGCTGATGCACCACTCCCATTTCCTCTGGGTCACAAAGGTTTTATATTGTTTAAAAAAAGAGAGGAATTTTATGTGCTGCTGCTGCCTGCTGTTACACTGTTTATATTTATGGGCTGCATGTTTCTGAAACAAGACATTGGTACTTTTACTAAGAGGCTGAGCTATCCATGGTTCACATACACAGTTGTAAAGATGTCAGCATTTACATATTTGTGGCCGATGCCACTGCCAGAGCTACTTAAATAGGCAGTTGATTTTGCCCTGACTGTGTCCTAGTCCACCAAGTCAAAATTCACTTAGTCTTTACACCATCCAACATCATTTAAAAGTATTGTTTTTGTGGTATGTCTGCGGTCTGTAGTACAATTTTGTTCAAATGTTGATGATCTACTATATTGTTTTATTTCCAAAAGTGTTTTCTGGTATATTAGAGGTTAGAGCATGTTTTGAAAGGTTTGTGAGTTCACATGAATCTAGAGCCAAGGTCAACATGTCGTTCGCAAAAAATCAAGCCTAGAAAGTGTTGCTTTTGTTTGTTGTTGTTGGACTGAAATGGGGAATATTTGTCATGTGATTCTGCACCAGAGGCACAGTAAAGTAGGCTGTGGGGGTTACAGGCATCTTGGTTCACATGCCGCCACCTTGTGGATATTTTTGGACTATTTTATGAACAGCGGAGGTATCCAGTATTAACTGTCTAATCATACATTAATCCCTTATTAATGATGACAAGTGTCCAATCCAATGCAACGTTCACACGTATAAAACACACTGAAAGATGGAGGCAATGTTATTTTGAACTTCACACTGTCCTAAATTCCATCTCCATTTTCACATCTTAATTAGAAGTATCTGCTAGCAAAATAAAACATGTATCATAATTACCAGGATTTTTTAATACACTAATAGTTTACTGCAATTTTGAGCCTGGTTCTAAATGAAAAATGTGCTGTCTCAAAAGGAGGCTTAGCTGAAGAAACTACAATATTTAAAATGGCCTACTTTAAATACATAATAGTTGCATTTTTGTTTAATGAATTTATGTTGTGTCTGTTTTATCTCAGAGACAAAAACACAGTAATACCTAACAATTGAACAGTAGGAAACTATCCTGTATATTTATTAACCGATATGTTTACCATGAGAGTTTGGGTCGAGTCTTCTGGTTTATAATGTGATCCTGCTTAGGAACACTAATGTGGCATCAGACCTTAAATTCAATTTCATACAAAGTTCTAGCAAACCTGAAGAATATTTTGCACTTTTAATTTCCTAATGGTTATTTGTACTTAGTAAGTGTTGATGCTAATAATTTAATTAACATAATTTTATACATTACCAGTTAAAAACAACACATGCTGTCAAGTAATTCTAATACATAGTTTAAACAGAGCAACATACATGTAATCACAGTCATTTCTAAACATGTGGAGTTATTTTGTTTTTAACTGAAGTGGGTGAGATGTCCTTCTTGTTGAAGTTGTAGCAGTCAATTTGTTCCGTTATGATTATATCCGTTATTAACAGTTATCACGGTACAGCTTTATTTGACGTAGTCACTACGCAAGTGAGTGAGGGTGAAGGAAGGATTTCCTGTGTCGGCGGCGGAGGGATACCTTTCTGCCGCCGTATTGGGCCTCGTTGAATTCAAGGAGATTTCCTATTTGCGGCGGAGTGATATGAGCTAGTAGCTTCCTATACAATTCAGTGAGAACTCAATGTGAATCTGCAGCAAGGGGAAAACATGGCGACTTCACAGCATGAGGGGCACGCAAACCAGCTCGATCTACTCATCAGAGCCGGTAACGGATCTTAATGTACCGATAACCTCGATCCGGAAGCTAACGTTAACGCACGGGTAGTGTTTTTAACCTCGACCGCTGCGCCTCGGTCTGCTGAGTAGTGTCGTGAAGTAATGGAGGGCAATCAGGAAGTGATCACCTTGGTAGCAACCTGCATGGCGTTGCTACATGGTTTATAAAACCCGGTTGGTTTAAAAGGTGAAAAACGTCTGTAGGGCTTGCCTGTCTGCACAAATAGATGGTTGTCTGCACGGAGTGTGTTTTGCATGTTGGAGCAGATTTTTCTTACTGCAGTGTGATTTAAGAATAACGGTTTGCAGATCGGCTCTGCACAACCAGGAAGTGTAAAGATGTTGTCTTTCCTACGTCTTTGCCACGCTGTCTGAGTCGGAAGAACATGTGGGTTTATTTTTACCATCTTAAATCTGGTCCACACGGTCAGATATCACCTTCGTTATTGCTATGAGGAACGTGTGTCGTAGTATTCAACCGTGGCTGGCTGTAGTTTGTCACCTTTGTTGGAATTACGTGCACTACGTGCACACATTGTCCCTGAATTAACAATAAATTCCACCAGAAAAGTACGACTGTATTATTGTATTTTTGTGAGTTTTAGGTGTGGTGAGCACATTTTATGCATCTGTAGTGTGTGAGGTTTAGATATTTTTGTTCCGTGGTTTCCGTCATGGTGTTGTGGAGCGTGTTTCGGCCTGGCTCACTCGCTTTCTTCTGTTTCAAGTGCGGCTTCAGCCTTCGACCACACTGACCTGCGAATACACACATTTTGTGTGCTTTCACTCGCGTTTTCATGAGCGATGTGTTGTGAAGACACCGCGTGGTTTCCACTAATGTTTAAGCTCAGATGTAAAGTTTTTTTTTTTGTCCTTTTTCGATGGCGGAAGCATTGTGTATTTGAGAGGGCGGGGCGTGGCGTTGATTGATTTGCCTAGTCACCCAATAGCGTGCGCTCAGCTTTAGGACGTCAGCATGAGTCCAATCAGGTTTGATCGAGGGCGGGCTCTTAACCGGAGAATGAGCCAATAGGAGGCAAGGCGGGTGTTGAGTGACAAGAGGATTTGTGAGCTTCTTCGAAGAGAACTGGAGGGAAAGGATGAGGACTGTAAACACGGAAGTCACCAGAGGCAGCTCTACTTTTTGTCGGACTTGCTGTTTTTCTTGGCGCCGTTACATTGTAGTATGGGTTCATAACTAGGCATTTCCCTAACTTGAAAATATTCCAATACTTGTATTACACGCTACCTACACATAATGTTGGTGTTCTTTTATTTATTTACAGAATTGTCGACGTGTTATTTTTTGTTATTACAGATAAATACAAATCCTAACATTCTGGACTTACTAGAAATGGCCAAAGTGTATATGTGGTTATGTAGGTCAAGCCAAGCTGCAACTCTCTGACCTCGCGCCTTTTGGTGGTCTTATTACAGCGCTGCTGCCTGGTTTCAAGGGCAGCTCTGCAGGCTATAGGGTCTCTGCTGTGAGGGCTACCAGCATGTCCTGTTTGTTTGTGAGAGGGACTGAATGAGTGGGACAATCTAAAGATAGCCCATTTTTGTGCCCTATGCAGCGTCTGTTGCCCCAGTGAGAGAGCCAAACATGGACAGGGCAGGGTGTAACGGGGTCTCCGGTTCCCCACCCGTGATTGACAGCAACAGCAGGTGCCCTGGGTTCCTTCTCAGGGTCCCAGATGGGGCCACGTACCATTCCCTTTGCAACAGGCTGAATCTAATTTTTGATTTAAACAGCACTGTTTTCTTTTGCAATGTCATGCCATATTTTGAGATTGTAAATAAGGACTATATTTAGGATTCTTTCAACTGCCTGCCAATGACTTTTCTGCATGCAGATATTTGAGGCATTTTACTGGCTGAACCTTTCCTTGTGTAACGCCTTCAGTATCCTGAAACAATCTTTGTACCTTGCAACGTCAAACAAAAGCTAAAAGTGCAGTGTAAAAATATTAATAAAAAACTTCTCACACTAACTAGTTTAATATAAAGAGGCAAGATAATGTCGACATTTCTGACACATACTGTGTCTGGATCAGAGTGAATGTGTCTACCAATGGTCTCAAAGCAATTGGTTTCTCCACTAGGGGGCGCCATATAGTAGCATTTTGTGTTCAGCACATGCAGCACTGTATTAATAGAGGTGACTTGCAGTTGGTAGTATTTATTATGATTTGTTTGGGAAATTATTAAGTTGACCATGTAAATTAATAAATTGTGGCTTCTTAGCTTTGATATTGGAAAGCAAGATGGAATAATGTTGGAATGTCCTTGAGCAGGACAGGTTTTCCCTGCTGGGATTAATAATGTAACTGTATTTTGGTACAACAGTCTCCACTGGGCTCAACCAGTAATTTTATTTTTCTTAAACTTGTGTGTTTCAGTGGAGGCTTCTGTCCATGGCACCGGTGTCCACTGCTCTGATAAGACCTTTGAGGCTGCGGAAGCTCTGCTGCGCATGGATTCACCTTCTAGCCTCAGGGAAGACCGTAGTCCAGGTAACGCACAGTATTTAATAATACACAAAACCCGGCTAGTTACCCATTTAGAAATAGGTCCACTTGAAACTGATATTTGAAATGTTTTATAATTAACACAACATAATTTTATTCATCTGTATGGTGGTCAAATATGAAAATGTGGTCTGCTGTTTGAACATGCTGTACATACAAGTGAAGTATTTCAAGCTTAAATATTTCTTAAGGTCCAAAATATAGTTTTGAGATTTCATAGCCCCTACAGAGATTTTATTTATCAGTTTTCTTAACCCTTGTTACTATTCTAAGACCGTAAGCATTATCACATAGATTCTTGTAGTTACTGCAATTCTGGTGTAAAGGCCCAACATTATGAGATAAAATGTTTTAACTTTTGCTTGCCCATAGGGAGCTTTAAGCCTTGAGTACTATCAAAATATAATAGTGAAAATGTCATCAGCCAAACGGTTATTAAAACTTCATAACGCAGCTTCAGTTCTAACTCTTGCCTCATTTATTTCTCCATTCAGAAGCTTTTGTTCCACCTTGCGTTGCGACACCAGACTTCCTTCACGCTGCCATGCGTCCCGACATGATTACAGAGACCGAGGTGGAGATATCGACCGAGGAGTGCTTCGAGGAAGGGGAGGAGGAAGAGGAGGAGGAGGAAGATATGGTCACCCTGCTTGAAGAGCCAGAACCAGAGCCCAGGAAGAGAAGAGGTAGACAGGAGTTTGTAGTTTGTGCCAACACAGAATTGTATTATATTAAGTGAGGAAACTGAAGCCCTAGTAGTCTAAAGCTGTGTGAAAGCATGCACAAACAGTTTGATGTTGTATACCCACCACCAGCAGCATATTGTGGAGCTTTGGAAAAAGGACAAACTGTTGAATGTTTTTGAAATGGAAAACATCTGGCAGCTCTGTGGTTAACCTCACAAGCCAGGCCACAAACCTCAAACCACAGGCTTGAAGTCACACTGTTAATTACAGATGTTGACTTTGTCCAAGAGCACCGTCTAGTGGTAGACTCTTACTGATGGGTCACAAATTCAACCTCGCAAGTAGGGGATCTCCATCAGTGATTCAGTGATTGAAGCAAATCATTAAGTCCTGTTTGAAATGTTTCCTTTTTAATAGCTGGACGGAAGCCAAAGACGCATCAGTCAGTTATTTCTAACAGCTCGCTGGACCTCGGTATCAAGAAGAAACCACGAGAAGGGAAAGGTACCGAACAGTAGTAATGTACATATATACATACATCTGTTGGCAGTTTAATGTGTGAAGCGCCGATAAAGATGGGTTACTGTTTAGCAGCACGTTGAGTTTGCTTGATTTCCAGCAGGGAGCACCACCTACCTTTGGGAGTTCCTGTTGGACCTCCTCCAGGACAAGAACACCTGTCCACGGTATATCAAGTGGACCCAGAGGGAGAAGGGCATCTTCAAGCTGGTCGACTCAAAGGCTGTGTCCAAGCTGTGGGGCAAACACAAGAATAAGCCAGACATGAACTACGAGACCATGGGACGGGCCCTCAGGTGAGCTGTGTGTGTGTATTTCAGATTGGTTCTTCTTATTTGTGTTTTTTAGGAAGCAGCATCATTAACTCCCGATTATCCTTTTCCCTCAGATATTACTACCAGCGTGGCATCCTCGCTAAAGTAGAGGGCCAACGGCTGGTTTACCAGTTCAAAGAGATGCCTAAGAACATCGTCATCATCGACGACGACAAGGCAGACATGCCCGCCCCCGATGGTCTGATCAGCTCAGAGGCCGTCGCATCCTACGAGCGTGTTCCGCCGCCGCCAGACATGCTGCAGTCGACCGAGCTGTCGTCCTCCAAGAAGCCCAACATCTTGCGGGGCGGGAACAGGACCAATGTGGTCCACACTCCTCTCGCTATGGGCAGCAAGACAGTGGCAGGAGGTGGTGCAGCGATGGCGGCAGGGATACCGAGGATAGTGACTGTTTCAACAGCGCCAGATGGGAGTCAGACCCAGCAGTCTCACACCGCTATCATCTCTACCGCCACTGGGCCCAGGTTAGACTCCCGCAAAGAGACGAGGGCCTTCAGTTTGGACATCAAAGGGTGTCTCATATTAGCGGGGCTGATGCAACTTGTAACTTTGCAACTGTAAGTGTTGACTCTTGACTCTTGACTCTGTGCTGTCTTGCATCTCGTGCACAGGACGGTGCGGGTGGCCATGCAGGTGCCTGTGGTCATGACAACATCGCTGGGTCAGAAGATCTCCACTGTTGCCGTGCAGCAGCCGGCAGGAACAACGGGGGCAGCCGGCCACGCCACCCTCCTCGCCAACACTTCTGCTATTGGCGCAGCCGCTGGTAACACCAACTCACAACAGAAGGTGTGTACGTGTGGAAACTTATTCAGTTCAATTCAGATGAGCTTTATTGGCACGAATGTGTAACAACAACATTGCCAAAGCATCATACATACAACATCAAGAACAATCAACCCCATACATTTCATTAAACAAGTAATTAAAGCGTAAAGTAATCAAAGCGTATGTGTGTTTGTGAAAATGAAGAAATATTACTCTTCCCTGTGATCCCTGTGCAGACTTGTTTATCAGTTTAGGGAATAGTTTGTAACATTCTTGGTTTTAGTCTGTCTTTGTTAACTTTCATGAAACGCATTCATATTCAACATGTGTGTTTTTTTGTTTGTTTTTTTTTTGGGCAGGTTGTGATCCAGACCATCCCCACCATGGTTCCAGCCACAGCAGAGAACGGAGACAAAATCACTGTCCAGCTGGCCAAGATCATCACGATCCCAGCCCACCAGCTCGCTCAGTGTCAGCTCCAGGCCTCCACCGGCACAAACAAGTCCAGCGTCGGGGCTTCCCCAGCCAGCATCAGCCTGCTAGGAAGCCCCCTGACGGTCCGGGCCCTGGCACCTGTCGGCGTCGCGCCAGGAACGCAAGTGATGAGACTCACCATGCCGACACAGACGCAACAACAGACTCTTGTGGTGTCACAGCCGGGAAGCGGGGCCGGCGTGGTAACGGTATCAACGGCTAATCAGACGGTGACGGCCCAGCCTCGGATCATAAGCGGCATCATTAATGGCTCAGAGCTGGTGTCTTTGGAGAAGCTGAAGGCTGCAGGAGTCCAGGTCCAAGCTGTGCAGGTGCCCGTGACGGTGGCAGTCCAGCAGAACGAGGTGCACCCCAAAACTGTCCAGAACGTCCAATCGGAGGTCGTGGATGCTGAGGTTGTTATCAAACTGGAAACGCCTGATGTGGCGATAAAGACAGAAGAGCCCGAGTGCTGAAACACATCTACCATAATCCATCTTTTCCTTCTCTGCCAGAAAGGGTTAGTTTGTACATGTCTGGCGTTATTTTTACTCTTGTAATAACCAGCAGCAGTCTGTGAGACTTTAAAGACTCCCGAAGGCCTGTTTTTAGTCCTGAACCTGTCAACACATCTTCCCTAGAACTTAAGTGAACTAAGCCGGTCTCCCTCAGAACCACAATGAAACCTCTGAGTGTCGTGTGCAGAGTTCAAACTGTACTCTGCAACAAAGGAAATACACACAGACTTTAAAAGAACTTGTTGGGAAAGGTAAAGGGACCAACCTTGATCACTACAATTTATGCCTTCTAAATAGATCGTTATGACTGACTGACATTGGGGGAGAACCTTGAAAGTACAAGGGGGGGGGGGGGGGGGGGGGGATCTGAAACACTACAAAATGAGGCAAATAATTAACTAACCAAAATGTGAACTATCAAATAAAAAAAGACACAGTGCGGGGTGTAATGACGCTTCTATGGAGACCTTTTGTTTAGTTTTTGCCTCTACAGATGTTAAAACCAGCAACTTGGTAATTTTTTTTACTTATCACTGTGCAGATCAAGTTAGGGTGGTGCTACTTTGAGTCCTAAAAGAGTGAGCGAGAGGGATATGGAAGGATATCAGACAGAAAGTGGTCATGTGTATACGTACGTGTGTGTATGTAATAATAAAATTTATATATATATAAAAAATAATTAATTACACACACACTACAGTTTACGGAGTTAAAAGAACAGCCTTAGATTTTAACTTTTTCATGTATTGTCTGAACAGGAAGCTGAAATTTGTCTTTGTGTTTTGATACCTTGTACCAAGCACAGTATTATTGAAACTAGGGGAACTAATATTTGTATTATTAGATCCTCTGCCTCCATCAGGCTTAAACGCCCATATAGATTGAGTCTTACAGGAGGAAGAGAAACGTGTTGAAGATCAGTGTGCCCTCCATCGTCTAGGAAAATCTGTAGGCTTGAATTTCAGACTCTGTTTCTGAGTTATGTTGTTTTTTTGACAGATGTTTGCTCTTTTTACAACTGTACACAGTCTGGCTGCATGGAAATGCAAAGAAGTGTGACTGAGCTGATGCATGCTGCCATGTCTTGGAAAAAAATAATCCAAATAAGAAAGTATGTAAACTCAGAGGTCAGTAAAGAAATGAAGCATAATTTTAATTAAAAGATGTCTGTGAGAAATATCAATCCACTGTCGATCCCAGGTCACTTTACTTCTCGCTTTAAACAGAGGGCCAATTTGCTAGTATGCTTTTTTTTTTTTTTGTCACTGCCACTTTGGCCCTGCCCCTACATTTCATTATTTTTGATCTAAAAAGAGGGAAGATGTAGAGAAAGATGTTTGTGTTCAGACTGAACTGTTTGTATATTCAACATTTGAAGTATATTCTATTTTGCTGTACTCTTGTTTCAAAGTGTATTAGATTTTACTGAAATATAAAAAGAAATCTGAATCCAGTTCTCATGGTTTTATGTATTTTTATTTTTTACATTAAAGCTTGGAGGTTACTTGTAAAACCAAATCCGACTGGAAGTAACCTAGTTTATTTTTGTTTTACCAGCATGTCGGAAGCACGTAGAGTGCAGACTGTTCATGTGGTTACTTTGCACGTTCTGCCCGCCAGTTGCTCGGGTTTACACACAACGTATTGTTTCATTGATAAGGTAGACAAAGAATCAGGGACAAATTCAGTTGTGCTATACCTGAAAAGATGCTCATGAAGAAAATTATTTTAAAATGGTGCAAATGCAGAGTACATCAGTGTTGTTTGGTATCGGAAATGGAAGACTGACAGTTTAGTTTAAAACATTGATACACTTAGTTTCTGTGCATCATACTGAAAGTTGAACACATGCAGCATGTCGTCTCAGACACACTGTGGTTGCATGTTTGTCATCCAGTTGGTCATTGTATGATATGGTTAATGGTAAATAGACTTATTAAACAGTACTTTTCTGGTCTGACCGCTCAAAGCACTCTACAACACTCACCCATGCCGATTGTTTTGGTTTTATTTGCCCAGGTTATGATATGTCTGCCTCCATCCCAATAAATGGAGGGAAATATGATTTAGTTTGTGTAAATCAAAGCATTAAAAAATGGAAAATGCCAGTTACAGACAACATGCTGTCAGCACTTTCTGTAAGGACTATGATTAATTCAAAGTAACCAGGATATTTTTACCATAGCAAAAAGACACTTACCTCCTTTAGCTTGGGGTGGACAGACCGCAATCTCAAAACCTGGACAAATAAAACCGAAACTATCTGCATCTCTAATACCAATAGACGATGTGGTCATTTGGATCAGATGATCCTTTAAGTCTCAAACCAACAACAGCGTAGTCGGAGAGCGTAAACACATTATATACTCCAAAAGCAACAGTTGTTAAACCTCACATGTACAGCAAGAACACTTATTCTCAGGTATAATGGCAGTGGGAAGCACAACATTTACTACAGTTTTAATGAAACATCGATTTTAGGATAAAAACAAACATGTTTCATTCTCAGTCATTAGTGTCACTGTGCAGTTTGTGTTCGAACACAGGAAAGTAACCTGCTGCAGAAAACACAATCGCACAGTGTTAGACTTTGGGGAAGCAGATTATGTTGTTGCAGGAGTACCACTGCAACTTTTGCGTCAAGAGTCATCTGACTGTTCAGTCCGGTCACAGTAACTTCCCCTTCTGGTTTCTCGGCCTCCTCTCGGTTTCACTCACACGTTACGTCTCATCTGCACGCCTTCTTGTTGAGTGAAGCCAAGCAGGAGACGCTCTCGACAGCCTCTTCACATCGTCGTCGCTTCCTGTGTGCTGGTCCATCAGTTCCTGCTCACTCCTTCTCCTTAAAGCTGAAGTCACAAACCAGAGAAAGATGGTCGGACGGATAGCTAAATGACGGAAGCCTGTTCGGCCCAATCTGTTCCTCGGTGGGCATGTCCAAAACTGCGTCCACTCTCAGTGTGTCCTGACTGTACCAGATGTAGTCCAAAGTGGTACAGCATTCCCCCGTAGGTCGAATCTTCCATGTCGTGTACTCCGGCTCGGTCAAACCGTCTTGGCTGAGTTTCTTATAGGCCGAGTCCAAACCGAGAGGCGACCCGGTGAAACGTCTGTAGACCTCCTCAGTTGGGACTGCGTTGAAATCACCACATATGAGCAGAGAAATGTCGGTGCTAGGGGCGCCTGTGGGCTCACCGGCGTGTTTCTGGACCAGGTTCTGCAGGTGCCGCAGGAGGTCGGCGCCCTGGGCGCTGCGGAGCCACTCCCAGCCAGAACGAGCCTTCAGGTGGGTCACGCACACGCACACGCATCTCCCTGTGCTCCGACAACGTAGCATCGTCACTACAGCAACCTGTGGCGAGAGAGCGGCGTGTTAGACGCTTATGAGGTTTTTGTGTGTCCAAGTGTGGCTCTATTCAGACTCTACCCACCTGATTGGTTGGAATCCTCATGGCAGAGAGGCGTATGCTCACGCTATCCAGGAACTCGTATTGCGACTGATCGAAGAACAGCGCGCAGCCGTCGGGGCCGTTGTTGCCCTCCACATCCAGGCACGGGGACCAGGGTTTAGGACAAAAGTTGCTGCTGTAACCCAGGCCTGCCAGAACCGGCTGGAGGGTGTCATAGTAGTGGTCGACTTCCTGCAGACACAGGATTTGAGGTCGATATGTGAGGATCTCCTCTAAGATGAGGTACTTCCTGCGGGTCCAGCTGAGGGCCTCCAGGGGACACTGGACAAAACTGTCAAGTCCTTCGCCCAGAGCTGAAGGACAGGGGAAAGAGGGACATCTGACTTCAGTATAGAGTTAACCTCGAGCAGCTGCACAATGCGCCGCAGTTTATGTTAGCAAGTGTTCAGTCAGGATATTGTCTTTGCTACAGCTCGGAAATGTTGATGCTTAGAAAAGAACACAAGTTTACATTTCTCAGAATTTTACATAATTAAACATAATATTTTAACATTAAAAAAAGCTTAGCTCGACAGTAAAGAAGTAAACAATGAGACGAAATATGCTAAAATGCTGCATAGTGCTGGACTGAAACAGAGTCAGGTGATAATTACTTGTGGGTTCACGAGTGACCTCTTCTTCATTACACACAGCCATTTCATTAAATTGCTAATATAAAAACATTTATTAGTGCAGCTTTAACTGGCACATAAATGAATGGAAGCAAATGGAGGGAAGGGCCTGATTAACACATATCAGAGCTTATAATCCAGTGTGATGTGATATTAGACTAAAAGCAGTCTACCTTGGGCCAATATGTTCCACTGCATCACCCTGATGGTGCTGCTGGGGGCGCTGTCTCCATCACCGAGGTGAGTGAACTTCCTGTGGAAGCGAGGTGGTCTGTCTCTGAGGGCTTCCTCGCACTGTCGAAGCAGCTCCACTGGATCGGACACCTTGATCTGCTGCAAGACAGACATGACGCTTAACATTTATTTAGCTTCCGGAGGCAGATTACTATACATATCTCCTGTGTCACTCTTTGAAAACTGTACTGTGAACTGAAAAGAATGAGTCACCTGGCAGAAATCTGGATCCAGGTTTACGTCCGCAGGCTGGTGGGGGTCCAGATGGGACGGTGGGAGGGGGAGAGGGGAGCTGCTTCTCAGGGTCTGAGTCAGGGCGCTGTACAGCCTGGTGGCCCCTCCACCCATCGGACACACTGAATAGAAGAACAAGACAAAGATGGTGAGGTGCGTTTGTGGATTGTCAACTCAGATAAGGAGACGACGGAGTGAGCACACCTCACAGCTGCCAGATCATCGGCAGCCGCCTGACTGTGACAAATCCCAGCTTTTTTAAAATCACATGATGACTCAAGTCTTTCTGTTTCATGTCTCAGCATGACTGCTGCTCAGCTCGCCTTTTGTCCCCCTTCAACATCTGTCAGAAATGCAACCTAAAAATAAGACTGCCTCCCAGCGACAGTCACAGACAGACACCGAGTATTATCTCTACCACTGTGGTAGTCCTGTGTTCACTCTTCTTTTGGGTCTGTTGCTGGTGTTGTCAACTCACCAGCAAACCACTTTGCCTGCCATTTGGTGCTGGTTGTGAACAGCGGGAGTTTTAAAGCTTTGTCTGTGAAAAGGTTGTGCCTGAAATGAAGGCTGAAAACAGACAGAACCAAGACATTAAAAGTTTCAGGCCGGAACAATGAGCCTTTACAAACACCGAGTTACTTGATCTGTTGCTAAGAAAAAAATATTGCTTAAAGCTGCTTAAAATGGGATGAATAGACTCTCATGCTCTTGGATACCAAGGTAGCATTTTTATTGGAAAACCACAAAAGGGAGGCAACTTTCAATTTTAAATTGCAGGTTTAAATTGCAGAAGTCACACCATGTTTATAATAAGCACTGTCACACACAGGCACCATCTGTTCCTCTAGCTTCTGCCTCCATGAGTATTTAACATAGTGGTTAGTGAGAACTGTACAGCAGGCCAAACCAAAGTGGGTCAAATTGACTGGTAGTAGAGTCAGTTGTAGGTAGTAAACAATAATTTAAAAGTATACCTTAGCTATTTTGAATCAAATGTTCTAAACAGCATTGGTCAATCATAGTTCATATCAATCATAGTTTTCAGTCCTGTGACATGCGCGGGAATTTGGAGGGCAAAACAACAGACCAACATAGCGACTCACACCGCGAAGATCAAATTTTATTTGGATCACCTCTCAACTTAAGAAAAAGAAAGATAGGAACACAAACTGCAAGTGTTGGCCACTTCCGATCTATGTTACAGCATCCGCTGCTGCATTTCTACCGTTGAAAACCGGCAGGTCCCTGCCGCCGCTCAACTGAAGTAATGTTTGCGTTTACCGTTTGGGAAATCCCTCACCGAACACAGCCCAGGCCTGTCTCCTCCTTGATTAGTGCATCCGAAAGCACAACAACCATCCAGTGTTTTGGCAATGCAAAAGTAACAAACTCAAAGTAATAGTGTGTGACTTGGTTCCTGGTTGCCCTCCAAGGGAGGGTTTTCCTTGGAATGTGAAGTCACGTGAAAACTATGAAATTCATAGTTCTCATTTTCAGCAAGAACATCAACCCCCCACCCCAAATTTGTGTTCCCTAGTTGAGATTTGTGTGCTTTATTCTTTTTTATTAAAGTAGACATTTTAAATGTCAGCTAGAGTCCTAATAGACATTAGTCATTTTACAAACAAACAATGAAGTGCACACTTCTCTGTAATGGTATGTCACAGTTTGCTTCAACAATTTCTGTTCTGCAAGTCTGAAATAAAAATGTTGCACATGTTCATTTACACAAAACTGAGACCGACTTCTACTCTGCTCCTCTAGACCAGGGGGCCTCGTGACAGACATTTCCTAACTGCTTGTCTTAAATTAATTTTCAGGGATACTAAAATTCCTAAACTCATGGCTGTATGTTAAGACTGTACACGAGACTGCCTGTCTTCCCTTCGCACTGGCTAATTAGCTTGCTATGATGGACAAGAAAAGACAGGCCTTCAGTTTTATTATTGATGTGTCTGAGGCATTACTCATGTCGGTGGAGGAGAGGAAAACACACCTTCTTGGGAAGTTTTCTTCCCAATTATTGATAAAGATTTCAAATAGAGTCGCCCCGGCAGTTAATATATACATTAATACATAGTCTGGGAAATTTAAAGCATCATCATGCACTTTTATTTCATTATTTCATTTTTTGAGTAGCCTTTCAATCATAATATGTTGGTGTAGTTCCCTATCTTCAGTGTACTTGCCATATAGACCTAACAACTATGGTGCTGCAGTTTTTGGTGGTTATTTTGAATTTAGCATATGGTCTATGCCTTCCTAACTTAGGATTCTTAACTTTCCTCAGTTAGGACAGTTCTGTAATACCTTAATTTCTATTCTAGGATAAGATTTTTTTTCTCTAAATGCAGTTAGGAAATATCTTTCTGTAATAATAAAAATCCTAAATGCCATCGTTAACTGAGATAAGATAGAATATTAGATTTTCTGTAATGAGGCCCCAGAACTATATGACCATAAATGGAGAGATCAGATCCTGTTGGACCACTGATGTTTAGGATCTGTCCTATTCTCTGTGAGCGAGTGATGACCGGACGTGACCAGAGCAAGCTCCCACTCCTTTCCACACATAAAACAAACTCTGGATAAATTAGATAAACATAAACTGACCTTATCCGCCCTTTGGATTGTAATGGTTATAATTATGTGTACGCTCTAGGTTTCTCCAAATACATGCCAGCACCAGACTGAATATGGTGATTAAATCCTCACTCTGCGCTCCACAGAACCTCATTGTCACTGTAACACCTTCCACCTCTGATCTTTGATTTTGTCAAAATATAACAGATACTGTACATCCCAACATCACCTTGTCTACAGTAAAAGAAAGAATAGCTGCCTCTTACCCATAGTCTCCATCACTGTCCACAGCTATGTCCACTCTGCACTTGAGCAAATTGTCCTTGACGCCTCGTTTTAACACTAACACTACTCGCCCCAACAGACACTGTATGTTAATGTCAGCTAATTTAAGCTTCCTGGCGACGCTGAAAGTGTTTTCACTGCAACAGGAGACAGTGACAGATGCGTTTGTCTCCGTGTGAATGCAGAAATCTGGGAGGGGGAGGGAGAAAGACAGAGAGAGAGAGATTAGGAAGTATCGACGTCATCAGGCCATATGTGGTATTACAGGTCATGTGCTAGTGAGGGAGAGAGGGATATACTGCTCTCTCTCTCTCTCTCTCACTTTGGGCTTGTGTGTGGCAGATATATTGCTGATAGATAAACTGTACTGACTTACACCCTCGCCTGAACATTGAGTAACATGGTTCACAGTCGGTTAATGATTTCTAATATCCTGAACCGCTGTACAACTGCACAACAATGTTCCGATCGCGTGTGTTTTCACAATAATAACTTCCTCAGTTTGCATGTTGTAACAGCACCCAGGTCACATTCGATAACAACTTATCATCACTAATGTTACGTCAGTTCCAAACTGATAGCACTAAAGTGGATAATATTTTGAGCTGGAATCAAATGTGTTCATTGAGATAACTACACTATAAAGCAGCAGTTTCCCAACCTGTGGTTCAAGGCTCCCCTAAGGGGTCGCGGCATAAACATGAGGGTCCATGAGATTTAAGAAAATACATTTCAGCAGCACATAATTCAATAACAACATTACTCTTCAGCTGAACTGCACAGTCCCTATACACATGCAAACTATGTAACACAAGTGGACACTATAACAGTGGTTCCTGAACTGAAATGTCCCAACAACTATTGAATGGATTATCCTAAAATTTAATACAGAAATTCACTTCCCACTCATGATGAATTGTATTAACATTGGCTTTTAATCCTGCGCCATCATCAAGTCAAAATGTCTGTTTGTGCCAATAAGATGTTGAGCATGGTAAACATTGTACCTGATAAACATCAGTATGTTAAGACTGTCATTGTGAGCATGCTGACATTGATTAAGCTCAAATCCACAACCACATTGAGTTGATAGCGTGGCTGTAGACTCAGTCTTGTTCGCATGCGGCCACACGCCGCAGTCAGCAGCAGCGAGACAGGCCTGCAACGTAGACTTTGCGGGTTCAGATTATAAGTGTCTGACAACATTATGGAAAGGATCCCTACAGAGATAGACCTTTTACAAAGCGTAAGATCCTTATAGTTAAACCAGAAAAAGTCACTATATCGCCACCAGACCCGTCACACAATTGTTTTTGTTAGTTTGTGTTATTGTGTGAATTTGTTGTTTTTAAGTCTGGTGGCTTTGACAAGTGCGATATAGTGACTTTTTCTGGTTTAACTATAAGGATAACACAAACTAACAAAAACAACAAAGTCACACAATAACACAAACTAACAGACCAAGGCTGCTGTAAACCAGCAACTCTTGTTTTCTCTTAAAACTACTGTTTTTACTCAATGAAGTTTGGTCACTTTGACAGCAGCAATATAGAAACTGTTTCTGGTTAAACAAAAAGGATCTTATGTTGTCAGACACTTGTAATACCAACGGCTTCAGTGGGCGTACTTTAAAGTGGCCCGCAAGGATTAAGTCACTCACAGCGACATTGTGAAAGTTGAATGAGCACCATGACCCTAACCCTAGGCCCACTGAGACACAGTCATCCAAGTTTCTGAAGAGTGCCCTTTCTCTTGCTCTGGTAGCCTCCGTTTGCCCAGCGCTCTCATTCCACAACTGCATGAACACATTTTCAGTGCGCAGGGCCTCAACACACCGTGTGGCAGCATTCACTATCTGGACGGCTGTTGGAAGGTCCATTTACTCTGAATGTAGCATCCTGTAGAGTGGCTCAAGAACCGACAATAACTTTTAAGGGCATGAAATCTAAACCTGGGATCAGCAACCCTGCTGCCTCCATCTGTGTCCTCTGGAAATGATGCTTAACATAAATCAGCACTTCAGATATATCCTGAAAGGATTTCAGGATGATCTGCACTGTGGCCAGGTGCTCTGTCCAATGCTGTCTGAGTCAACGCTTCAGGATTTCTCTGCTCCGCAGAGGCCCCATCGTAAACTTGGCAGCATATTTTGCCTGTGCTCGGGCCAGCTTTTTTTGTTAGTTCTAAAAAGCTGGAAGTATCTGAGAGACTTTTTGCATCACCTGCGGCAACTGCCAAGAGCCTCTATTTTATGGTGTAGCTTTCATCAACAAACCACAGTTGTGTCTCGGGTTCCATCTATTTTGATTGTGAAAAAAAAAAAGTTACCTTCTTCCTCAACAATATCCTCTGTCACCAGTTTGCTCATCAGTTCTATTATTTCATTTTGAATGTCACAGCGTATGTAAGCAATTTTTGCCATCTCTGGATCTTTTTCGAAGGTATATTCAAACATTGACAAGAATAACCCACTGTCCGAGTGCGCCATACATTCCACGTCATGGCCTCTGACGGCAGAAATGCCAAAACAATGATGGAGCCCATATAATATGTATTGCAAGCCAGCTGATCTTTGTGCACAAGCATTGTGATTTCCAGACTAGTCCCAATGAGCATCTGTATTTCTCTTAAAAGTTTTTTCACACACTAGATGGTCCTTAGAAGAGGTGTCCATTCAGTCCCTTTTGTAAGGCATGTTTCCAGCCTCTGAAGCCTTTTACTGTAAAAGTTAAATCTGATGATGCATGAGCCATAAAGGTGAACAGGATGCAGCATCGCCTTTCACTTAAGTACTCAATGCAGTCTGTTTTGGTACCATGCACTGGCAAAAGTGTGTTTCTTCAGTGAGAAGAGCCGAACTGGAAAACTATCTGTAATGGCAGAAAAGTGATTTTACTCGTATACATGCTGATAATCAACAATTGTGTACTTATACACCTCTGTGGTATTATACAGTTCACTATGCCAGGACAGTGTTTAGGTCAGAGGGGAAAACTGTGGCCTTGTTTTCTTTTAGGAGTACTTAATTGCGTTTATCTACCCCGAGGTCATCTGGAAATACACTGCTTAATTCTCCAAGATGAGGAGGTTAGGTGAAGGGCTGCTAACAGATGCACATAGCTGCTGGTGGCGGAAACGGCAACCAAGGTGCCGGTAGCGGTGGTGGAGGTAAGGGAAGAGGAAATGATTGGAGAGATGGAACAGTGGTAGCTGCACTTGTCCCTGCTGTGGCCGCCGGCTTGGTGGTAACATCAACACAAGCGGCCAAAATGAGTTTCCGCCGTAGGGTGGCTGGGCTCAGCCTTAGAGATATGGTGAGGAGCTCTGACATCCGCAGTGAGCTCGGAGTAGAGCCGCTGCTCCTTTGCACCAAAAGGAGCCAGTTGAGGCTCCTGTTGGAGGTCTTCCATGCACGTCCAACTGGGTGGACATCTCAGGGTTGACCAAGAGCTCACAGGAGGGATTACATATCCCATCTGGCCTGGGAATGCTTTGGGATCCCCCAGTAGGAGCAGGAAAGCCTGCTGCCACCGCGACACAATCCCACATACACAGAAGATAATGGATGGATGGACTAAAGTCAATTTAAAAACTGGTTCAAAAAAAGCTTGCCAAATGTCAACTATTCTGAACCTAAAAATATGCTGAGTGCAAAATATAAAAACGCACATAACCCAGAGGGTTTTTTCTACATGTGTACTTCAGCTGAAGATAATTGGTAATCAGCAGCAAGATGTACTGATGTAGAACTGTGGCACAAAATCTCCTTGGAAGAAGAGTTGTGTTGTAGCATCTATCACACACAGACACAATACTGATTAGTAGAGCAGCCACAGAGAACAGGGACAGATACACTGGTACAGCCTGAATGTACTTAAAATAAAAATAAGTCAGCAACAGTTTCAAATATGATGTGTGATACAGCCTGACCATACCATAGAGCTCAAATGTCACATGGCATAAAAAGAGTTTAAAGCTAAGTTTACTTCATGTTCATGTAGACTTACATTAACTGGAATAAACTGCTGATTCACCTTCTTCTCCACTTGTGCAGCTGCTGCCTGGTTTTTCAGCGGTCTTTCTTTGCCTCTATCTGGTCCTGACAGTGTGCGGCACAGACGCAGTGAATGTTCCTCTCTGTGCATGTGTGTTTTTGTTCCGAGGGAAGTGGTTGGTTGCTTGACCCTCTCGCTGCAGGGCAAGGTCACGGCACAGAGAAACCTGGTACCTGCTGCCATCTGCTGGTAGGAGCCACACAGGGACCAAAGTGTCGAACTTCATACAGCAAGTCTGAAAAGAAACAAAAGTTGACGGTCGTTATTCCGTGGGTTTAATTATATTTACAACCTGATGGATTTGACAGGCAGCAGATAATATAGTCTTCAATCTTGCCCATTGATTTTCTTTTCAGTTTTAAAAGATAAAGAAATTTCAATAAACAATTATATTTTAAATAGTAAAACACAGGAAATGCAGTGGCTCTCACAATTAGTACACATTTGTGGAATTACTCTACAAAAGAAAAAGAGCGAACATGTCAGTAAGTTGTTAAATAAATATGTTATAAAGAAATGCAAAAACCCACTACCATTGTTACGCATTATAATGTATTCATGGCATTCATAGAGGAGAAATCACCCAAAAGTTTGGGTTTACTTAGTAAAGTTGCCAAAAAGGTGTTTCAAGACCTGTCACACCACTGACACGGAGCATTACAACAGGGTATGAAATTAAAGTAATGCACTTTGTCTTACATTTAGAGCAGTCTGCTGCTAAGTGCAAGTGTAGTTGGCTTGTGAAATCTTAAACAATTGTTTCAATAGAGGCTGGAAGATGACAACAGCTGTTGTATGTATCAAACACTGTGTATATGAGAAATCATGGGTCTTGTAAATAAGTCATAGTGGCAACAGTGACTTCATACTTTTCTAATGTTTTACTGGCTTACATTTAACTTTTAAAAGTGGACAGCAACCCTTTCAGGTGAGCGTGTTGGGACATAGATATTCCATATAAGGCCTCTATTAAAAAAAAACTGAGATCTGAATTGATTGTATCTGTCCAAGTTGCCTTGTTGTCAGACATTCTGCTAAATTACTGCAGTCCAAATTGTGATTTACTGTAGTGAACTGTGTGTCAAAAGTACAAAACTAACTGAGCAATATTTACAGCAGAGATTTTGACTTGTCATAGTAGGTAAAGCACAGGTTTTACTACTAACATTAAAACGGGACATGTTCAGTTGTCCACAACACCAAGTCCCTGATAATTAAATCAACTAAATGGAATTCTGAAGTCATCGATTTGATTATTTATACCTGTGCTTTTGCTACTGTGACTTGTCGAAATGTCTTCTGTGAAAAAGTCTGAAGGGAAATTACAAATTATAAACGAACTCATACAGTGTGAAGAATGATTTGAAATTCCACTTCAACCAGTTTTGTCCATCTTAAAATAAACCATGTTCAATTTCTGTGTCCCTAAAATTGACTGATATCCAACAAAATTTACCACAGATTATATTTGTGGTTTCACAGCAGACACTTGCTGATGTGTACACATGTCTACCCCAACGACTGCACCTCAAGAGACCCATCTGTCAAACTCCTGAAGTTCGCTAACAACACAACGGTCATCGGCCTCATCCGGGACGGTGACGAGTCGGCCTACAGACGGGAGGTTGATCAGCTGGCTCTATCGTGCGGTCAGAACAACCTGGAGTTTAACACGCTCAAAACTGTGGAGATGACCGTGGACTTCAGGAGGAGCCCCCCACTCTGCCCCCCATCACCATCCTAAACACCCCTGTGTCTGCTGTGGAATCCTTCAGGTTTCTGGGATCCACTATATCCCAGGACCTGAAGTGGGAGCCCAACACTGACACCATCATCAAGAAGGCTCAGCAGAGGACGTACTTCCTGCGTCAGCTCAGGAAGCTCAACCTGCCTAAGGAGCTGCTGATCCAGTTCTATGCAGCCATTATCCAGTCTGTTCTCTGCACCTCCATCACTGTCTGGTTTGGATCTGCCACCAAAAAGGACAGGAACAGAAAAAATAATCGGTGCCAACCTGCCCTCCATTCAGGACTTATACATTTGCAGAGTCATGAAACGGGCAGGAAACATCACTGCAGATCCATCTCACCCCGGACACAACCTGTTCCAGCTCCTCCCCTCTGGTAGGCGCTACAGAGCACTGTACGCCAAAACCAACACACAGAAGCAGTTTCTTCCCACAAGCCATCACTCTGACGAACAGCTGATTTCTGACTCACAGTGTCAGGAACAATTCCTGTGCAACAACACAGTAGCTCTGTCTCTAATCAGCACCTGTTTACTGGTTTCCACTTATTATTTATTTATTCACCATTCTCTATTTCAGCGCTGTTCATACTATGTCATATTGTATATACTGTATACCAATACACCTACCTCAGGTCATAAGGTCTTATTTATTTTTTCCAGCATCCTTTGCACTATGCTCCATCACACTGTGTACATGTATGTGTACCTGTATATCATATCCACCTTCAACATTGTGTCTGATTTTATTTTATTATTATTTTTTTATTATTGTGTTATGGTATTTTTGTACGAGTAAGCACATCGTGAGCAATGTACAATCCTGAGTCGAATTCCTTGTATGTGTACACATACCTGGCAATAAAGCGGATTCTGATTCTGATGTGTCATTGCAGGAAAGGCACAGGTGGAACTCATAACATTAACAATAGCTCTGTTCTTAAGGCAATGCAGAAATGAGTCATGTGATTAGTGACACCTGTGTTTGACAAGTCAAAATAGTGTATAGTTTGGATGCTCCTATCTGAAGTCTACTCAGGAGAGATGCATTCAAAACTGAATTTCAACCATTTGGAATATTTTTATGTATACAAGCCTGCATTAAAAATAAACTAATAGCCATGACGTCATATCATCGTGTTGCTGTGAGCTTTATTTAAAAGTTATTACAAATGAATATCAACTTTGAGTTTTCCTTGCATGTAGTTTAACTGAATTCACAGACACGACAGGTCAGCATACATGAATTGAAGAGACACTAATCAACTCAACTCTGCTGTTCTACAGCTGTTTTATCTCCCAGTCGTTTGCTGAAATTTAACATTTGTTGGTGTAGGAGTGTGCTGACATGGCCCAACTGTTGTCTCCTGGTCTTCAGGTGGTTCAACATGGCATTCATAGATCCCAACAGAACGCCATCGCTGCTCTGACAGTCCTGCGTTACCAACAAGTCCCCTCTCCATGCTTCCTGTAAACTCTCAAACAAGGCCTTTATGTCCTGTCTGAGCTGGTGGGTCTCCTGCCAGCATCTGTCTTTGTTCTCCCTGGCCCTGCTAACACCCTCTGTCATCTCTCTGATACGGAGATGCAGCCTGCTGTTTTCCACACTGACCTGCTCCAGTTTCACGGTATTGTCATAGATGCTCATCTCTACAGCTCTCAGCTCTGAGGCCTGCCTGTCGAGAGTATCCATGTAACTTCCCCGCAGCTCCTCCAGCTGGGCCTTCATATCCTCTCTGGGCTGAAGCAGGGAGCTGGTGTTCATCTTCAGCTCCTCAATCGACAGCTCGAGATCTTCCCTCTTCCCCCTCAGCTCGGAGACCAGCGTTTTCAACCCCTCGTGCCTGGACTGCTCTTCGTTCCACTTTTCCTCCACCTCCCTCAGCATCTCCTCTTTCTCCTCCACCTCCCTCTGCTTCTCGCCGGTGCTCCTCATGACGCTCTCGGTCTCTGCAGTGCACCGCTCGATCTCCTGATGGCGTTGGGTCTCCTGTTGGTTGTACTCCGCCTCACACTGGGTCACATGGCTCATCAGCAAGTCAGCATCAGCGCTCTTGGGCAGACTTCGCTGGAGAGTGGCCTCCTCGTGTCGAAGTTCCTGGTATCTCCGCCTGGTGTGGCTGATGTCAGAGGTCATTCTCGCCACGTGCTCGTCCTGCTTCCTCTTTGTCTCCTCCAGGAGCCTCCTTAGCCGCCTCTCCTCCTCCTCCAAATGGCTGACGTTCTTTTTCTTCTCATCCACGTTACCACACATCTCTTCCTTATTGCTCTCAAACACGCGCTTGTTGATAGTGCCGGCTTCCAGGAGTTCTCCGATCTGCTTGTCCATCTCTTTGACCTCCTTGCTGTATTTAACAATGGAGGTGATGCACTCCTCCAGCTGCAGCTTGGACCGCTCCAGCTGCTGCAAGACGTGGAAATGCTCTGCCCTTACATCGTTCTCCTCATCGCGCTGCTGCTTGAATATCTCATAGATTTGAGCCAGGGCGTCTTGATAGAGCAATCTTGATGGTCGACCCTCCTCTATTTTGCCTTCCACTGTTGCAATTTCCTCTTTAAGAAGCTGCACGGCAACCCTGAAGGCTTCAACTAAGTCACACAGCTCCTTCTTCATCGTTTCTCGCTGTTGACTCGAATCTTTTTGCTTCTGGGTCTCCTCCTCCAGCCGTTTCTCCCACTGGCACCGAGATGCTGTCAGTTTTCGTGTACTACTCTCCAGCTTGGCCACCTGAAGCATGAGCTCGCCCAGGTGCCCATGTGTTTCCTGTTTCTTGTCGTTAACGCTGTTCAGCTCTCTTCTGCGCCGCCTGATCTCTTGCTTCTGCTGCTTAATTTCCTCCTCGACCTGTTGCGCTTCTCCAGCCAGGTTGTCTTTTATCACAGTGAAGGCCTCTCTCTCCAGCGCCACGTTTTGGCGCAGTGTTTTTTTGTCCTGTTCGACAGCAGCGATGCAGGACTTCATCTCCTCTACCTGCTCCCGTGTCTGATCCAGGTGCAGCTGCAAGTCATACTTTAAGGTGATATGATCATTCAGAACAGCAATGATCTCTTCATGTTCAGCCTTCACCTGCTCTCGCTCTGGGTACAGTGCTTCATTTTGGCTGCAGATGTCGTCCTGCCACTTCACAGTGGCTTCATGGAGCTGAGAAACTGTGTTGAGCTCCATATGCAGCTGCTCTATCTCCTCGACATTGGACTCCCGGGCTGCTGCTATGTCAGCCATGATTTCCTGGCTCATTCTTTGTCTTATGTTGTTAATTTGGTGTCTTAGCTTGCTGTTTTCTATGGTTTCCACTTCTAAATGTTCCCGAGCAGCTCGTCTGTCCCCCTCCAGCTCAGTGATGGCAGCAGTTATCTCTGTCAGATGGAGGCTGGCTTCAGGTGAGAAGCTTATTCCCTCCTCTTTCAGCTGCTTGTCCAGTTCCTTCAAATGCTCGAGAGCAACCATGACGGCCGGGCAGTCCGGGACCAGACAAGAAGCCATTTGTTTTTTTATTCGTTAATGTGGCTGCGGTTTGAAGTTCCGGTAGTTTCTACACCACCGATAACTCGTGAGTGGGGTCGCCATGGCAACACCTGCCCGAGAAGAAGACGGCATGCTACGGCAAGTCAGCGAGGCCAAACGGCTGTGAGCAGTGGCTAACCAAAAGCTAACCGCAGCCACGTGAAAACCAAGCAACTGCTGTCACTAGGTTGTAACTTAGCGCAAGGAAGTCAGCTAAAGCTAGAAGAAGTCGGGTGACCTTTTGTATTTGAAGCATGAAAGGAAACGTTTGTTAGAAGTCGTGCGAGAGAGCCTGTCGCGACTTCTCTTTTGAAAAAGAGAAATACATTCTGAAGGCTTTAGTGTTTAACTCACCTGAAATATGTAGCAGCAGTACCCGAGCAGACATTTAGGAACAACTTGCTGTTTCACAGCATCTGTGTTGGAGCGAGCAACACAACTAATCATGCTCACTTGGGATGACAACTTCTTCTTCTTCTGTTCCTTTCCGGCAGACCAGGCACTGTTAGTGCATTGCTGCCTCCCACTGGTGCTGGAGACAGTCTACATTAAGGCTCCTCCTGGCCTGTAGTTTCCAATACAGGCCTGCAGATTTTAGGAATTAGTTCCAATACTCTCTCTTTTTGATTAGGATCAGAGTTTTCAAAGATAGTAGTTCAACTCGCAGATCAACAGACTCCTTTCCTCAGCATATCTCAGACAGTGCATGATGATATGTTTGACCGACTCCTCTACTCCACATTCTTGACACTTGCTTGTCCCTGTGTTTCCCCACCAGAAACAGTCAACTTGCCAGCTTGCAATGACCCAATCTTAATCGGGCCAACTTAATTTGATCCATCTGTGGCAAGTTCATTATATTATATTTTCCCTACCTAAACTTTCCCAAGCAGCCTCATCAGCAGCCTCATTACCCTCGACCCCCACATGTGCTGGAACCCACAGGAAACCCACACTACACCCCCGCCTCTCTAGCCTATAAACCACTGTTAAAATTTCCCTGACTAAGTCTGACCTAGCCCCATCTCTTTCTCCCGCCATCAAGCCAGACAGTGAATCAGAGCAAATAACGGCTTTCTCACTCTTTCTAAACACTTTGCTAGCAAAGAGACTGTAGGGAGAGCTGCCGATCCATATGCAAGAGACCCATAATCAAAAACTGATCTTATTATAGCTTTATAAATCATCAGCATAAGCTTCCTGTCTGCACCCCAAGAACATCCAGCCAAACACCTCATAATATTGATAACCTTTCCACACTTATTTACCATTCTACCTACATGTTCTTAAGACTTAAGTCTATGATCCTCTTCCTGCCCAAAACCATATACTTTGTTTTTGTCAATGATAACCTAAAGCCCCACTTCTCACTTCAAGCCGGCACCTTGTCCAAAGCCCACTGCATCTGTTTAAATAAATGCCCAGTATTACGGCCTCTTTTCAACATTGCTCCATCATCTACGAACAAAGATCCCTGAAATCCACTCCCTACCTCATCGATCATATTATTGACCATTATATTGAACAGGACTGGACTGATGACGCTACCCTGTGGAGTCCCATTATTTACAATCACAGGGTCAGAAAAGCTCCCTCCCACTCTTACCTGGATACTCCATAGCCTCTGAAAGTCCTTAATCCAATTAATCATTCTACCCTGAATCCCTGCATCATACAGCTTAATGACTACTCCTTCTTTCCACAACATATCTTAAGCCTTTTGTATATCAAAAAATATTTTACAAGGGCTTTCTTGATATTGTCGTCCAACACTAAAACTGAGTCCATAGTTCCACGACCAAGTCTGAAGCCATTGTGACAAGTGGAGAAAAAAACTTTCTTTTCTAATCTATATACCAATCTGTCAGTAACCATCCTTTCCACAATCTTACAAATGACAGCTGTGAGTGCAATTGGCCTATATGATCCATGGCTTTCAGCTTCCTTACCGGGTTTTAAAATTGGCACAATAACTGCATGTTTCCATTCAGCTGGAATCGATCCTTCCTCCCACACTGTGTTAATCAATGCCAGCACCTCCTCCACTGCAAAGTCATCCATATGCTGAAAGATCTGATATCCTACTCTCAGGAGTAGTGTGTCGCCCTCGTCTTATTGCCCTCTTTAGTTCATGCATGGAAAAGAACATATTGATTACATCACTATTGTCGTTATTCCTATCGAGTTTGTGCCCTTCCTGCTCAAGCATTAGCTCCCTCCTAATCAAACCTTCTCTACTAACATTCCTCTCCCTGTGCACTTGCTGGAAACTCCTAACCAACAGATCAGCCTTGTCCTTATTACTTACCACTTCACTACTCCCTTCTACCAAAACAGGAATAGAGAAACCTCTATTAATTCAAACCATTCGATGAATCATATTCCAACACTGTTTAACAGTAGTCTCAGAACCTAAAGTACCACAGAACTTCTGCCAACTCTCTCTCTTCGCACACTTTATAACCTTTCCAGCCTCAGCTCGCCGTTTCTTGAAGCTGCCTATAAACTCTATTTCGAACCCTCACAGCCTCATCACAAGCCTGGTTCCACCACGGCACTACTTTTTTCTCTTCCCTGTCACCCTTAATTGTTATGGCTTTTTCTGCTGCTTTCCTCACAACTTCACAAAAAAAATTACTCCACTCATCAGCGCTACCTTGGCTAAATACATCTCCTAAGCTTGCTACCAACTGTTCTCTGAATTTATCCCAATCTGCTTTTAGAAAATTAAACCTCCTCAACGCTCTCTCCTTCTCCACCTGTAAAACACTGCCAAATTTACTTAAAATAGGGAAGTGATCACTCCCTAAGGTGTTAAGTTCTATAGGATACCAACTCCCACACCTAGCAAGTTCACCTACGCAAGCTACAGACGCAAATCAATACATGACAAGCTCCCACTATTCACTTGAACCCTAGTTGGTCTTCCGTCATTTAACAACACCAAATTATATTTATCTATAAAGTCTTCTATTAAAGCCCCATTTCCACCTCTGATTCTACTGCCCCAAAGAGGATTGTGAGCATTAAAATCTCCTGTCCACACCACTGGAGGTCTCACCTGATCTATTATTTCATCTAAATGATCTATTTCTAGCCGTAGACAAGGGTTATAGAAATTAATCAATGAAAACCTACCTGCTGAGCACCATACCTCAATTGCTACACATTCAGGTCCTTAGGTTACATTTACTTGTTTATACTGAACACCCTTTTTTAACAAAAATTGCACACCCTCCTCCAGATGTATTTCTGTCCTTTACCCTGCAGGTAATCCAGATTGGATTTACATTTATTTAAATCAAACATATAATTAGTAGTTCATTCCCATTGCAAAAAAAATAAATCCTTTTGGGACATAATATCTGTCTGACATTTTAATATTTAGACTTTTGTTAACAACAGGACCTGGCAACCCTGACTTGTCGCATTGTGTTGACATTCATCCACAAAGAAAGACGTAGAAAGCATAGAAACAGAGCAGGTAGAAAGTAACGAAATGCCTGTCGTCCATCCATCCATCGTCAGCTGCTTATCCTGCGTACATGGTCGCATCATACATGGTCGCATCATACAAATGTGTTTTGTAATTCACAGTCATGATCAAATTAGTTTGAGTCCATTGCATTTTTCACCTATAGGGAGTTCTTATCATCATTAACATGATAATTTGGCATGTGTTTAAAATAGTAAATTTAAATAATTAGAAGTAATTTGTGTGGAGGGTAGTTGGATAGAGACGTTTGTGTTTGTTTGACAAACTTACAAACGGTGGATTTCGGTGGATTGTACATAAACTGATCTGGACTAAGGATAGCAGGGAATAGTGATTGTGTATGGATGTAAATTACTGGACTAAAGTACCGAAAAAATAAATGAGTTAGGAATTATAGTAGTAGGCCTAGGTGATAGTAGTAGTATGAGAGAGGAAGCTAGGGTGGTGAAGAATGGGAGGAGAAAAGATTGATAGTTTATTATTGTTGCTGGATTTCCAAAAGAGGGTGTTGCCTTATAAAGTGACAGTGGGATAAGTTACAATGTAAGAACATATGTCCCAGCTGGGGGTAAAGTCAAACAAAAGTGTGTAAGGTGTGATGGGGAACATGAATATGTGAAATGTGAGAACAGGGCAGAGATGAAATGTAATTGTGGAGGTGCATATAATGTGGCCCATGGTCATTGGAGGAAAAGGGCAGTAGTGAAGCAGATTGAGTGAATATAGATTTATCTTATGCAGAAGCAGCAATGTTGGTGGTGGAGTCTAAAAAGAACAATCAATTCAACAACTTGTGACAAAAATTCAAATGGGAAATGGAAATGTATTATATTTGTGTATTTCATGGCTGAAGTAATGAAACGCACACTTCAAGCAAGGGTTTGGGAATTCAAGGATATGTGTGCATAAGAAGGGATAGAGGAGGGGTAGTGCTACTCTTGTTTGACAAGGTGTTTAGAAAAAAAGAAAAGGGGAAAGGTCTGGATAAGTTAAAGTTTGGTTAGGGGATGGTAGTCTTGTTGTGGTTGATTTACATAATCCACTTCAGAGGTGATTTTTTTGCCCATAGTACTCTTTGGGGAAGGGATAGAACTGAGGGGAATGGTTTGATGGACTCCTTGGCACTTGTGTGTAAATGATAGGAGTTTCACAAGGGTTAGTTGTAGTACGGGGTGGGGTGGTGGGGGTTCCCCATGTTAAAAAAATGTGCCCCTTAGTGCAAAAACATGATGAAGGGCTCTCTGCAGGACGGATTACTGTATTGGCCTACCGAGCACGTGTCCAGGATTATAATAATGTGCATGGTATTGGTTTGGTATACTGGTCACTGTTCTGCCAGTTATACCTGCCACAGCCTGAGAAAGATCTGCTACCACTGTTATTTACAGATGTATATGGTTCTAAAGACCAGGCAGAACACAAGCAGAACAGCAGCAGAAGTATCCCTGAGTTTATTGTCCAGTGTGGATTGAAAGTAGACTGATAGAGTGATAATATCTGTTTTTGCATGTGTGTGATGATGGCCCTGGCTATTGCCAGAGAGAGTGGTAATTGCAGCATTAAAGAGCTTAAAATGCTGCAACTCCAGGAGTAGAGAGGATTTATTTATTCAATCAAAGAATGTAAAGTAAGTTTATTACCAAGTAGTGTTTTACACATAAAAGGAATTTGCTTTGGTGTTAAGGTGCCACGCAGACAGACATCCAGCTGACATAAATAGATGTAGAAATATATAAATATGTAATAAACAAATGCAAGTTATATAAGAATAACAGAAGAATAGAGAAAGATAATACAACTGACAATATAAAAAAAATAATTTTAAATTTAAAAATAAAAATAACAATGGAACAACAACAATTTACTATTAACAACAAATTAACAACAAAAATGTGCAATGTGCCAGGTTTGTGCATGATATGACATGAAGAGATATTTACATGTGCAAAGACGAGGCTAGCTGCAGACGGGAAGAAGCTGTTTTTGTGGCGAGAGGTTTTGGTCCTGATGGACCGCAGCCTCCTGCCAGAGGGAAGAGTCTGAAACAGTTTGTGTCCAGGGTGGCAGGAGTCAGCTGCAATCTTTCCTGCTCGCCTCAGAGTCCTGGAGGCGTACAGGTCCTGAAGAGAAAGAAGATTGCAGCCAATCACCTTCTCTGCAGAGCGAATGATACGCTGCAGCCTGCCCTTGTCCCCGGCAGTGACAGCAGCGTACCAGATGGTGATGGAGGAGGTGAGGATGGACTCAATAATGGCGGTATAGAAGTGCACCATCATTGTCTTTGGCAGGCTGAACTTCTTCAGCTGCCGCAGGAAGTACATCCTCTGCTGGGCCTTCTTGGTGAGGGAGGTGATGTTCAGCTCCCACTTGAGGTCCTGGGAGATGATGGTGCCCAGGAAGCGGAAGGAGTCCACAGTGGTGACTGGGGAGTCACTCAGGATGAAGGGGGAGGGTGGGACTGGGCTCTTTCTGAAGCCCACGACCATCTCCACTGTCTTCAGAGCGTTGAGCTCCAGACTGTTCTGGCTGCACCAGGTCACCAGATGGTCGATCTCCCACCTGTACGCGGACTCGTCCCCACTTGAGATGAGCCCAATGAGGGTGGTGTCGTCTGGAGGTGCAGCTGTTGGTGTACAGGGAGAAGAGAACGGGGGAAAGAACGCAGCCCTGAGGGGAACTGGTGCTGATGGTCCTGGAGTCAGAGACATGTTTTCCCAGCTTCACGTGCTGCTTCCTGTCTGTCAGGAAGTCAGTGATCCACCTGCAGGTGGAGTCAGGCACGCTCAGTTGAGAGAGCTTGTCCTGCAGCAGGGCCGGGATGATGGTGTTGAAAGCAGAGCTGAAGTCCACAAACAGGATCCTGGCGTAGGTTCCTGTGGAGTCCAGGTGTTGGAGGATGTAGTGAAGGGCCATGTTTACTGCATCATCTACAGACCTGTTGGCTCTGTAGGCGAACTGCAGGGGGTCCAGGAGTGGGTCTGTGATGGATTTAAGGTGGAACAACACAAGGCGCTCAAAAGACTTCATTACCACAGAGGTCAGGGCGACGGGTCTGTAGTCGTTTAGTCTCGTGGTCCTTGGTTTTTTGGGGACAGGGATGAGGATGAGAGGAAGATATCTCTTTAAAAAAGAATCCATTAGTTGGGAGTACAGGGTCTTGAGGACAAAATAGGAAACAGAAGAGGGTTAAACCAAGAATAAGGAATGGTCATATTGATCTAAACAGTTATCTCTGATTGATTCTCAGAGTGATTGGAAATCATAATTATGGAAAAAGTGAATACTGGAGAGAGAGGAAGCAACCAAGGACCATGTTTAATTGTATTTCCAGAGGTATGATTCAGAGAAAGAAGTCTTTAAAAACGCAGAGATTGGAGAGCAAAATATTAGTAATATTTAAAAAATATATATTCAGGTGACAAGGGTTTAAAACTCTTTAGGATCAACAAGACTAATGAATAGAATTAGTTTTTTTTTTTTCATTTTATTTCTTTAATTATTTCTAATTAGTTTATTTGTTTTTTGTAGGCTATTATTTGGGTTTTGTAGAGGTCAGACAGAGAATAGGCTGTGATAATTAGTCTACACTCCAGATCAGTGGGTGGCGGTAATGCGAACAGCCAATAAAACCAAAAGAAGAAGAGTTTTCGACGGGGTGTCCTTTCTACTCTTGCAGCAGTGCTACACAGCCAGCGGAAAGCCTGCAGAAACATGGATCTTATCAGTAAACCAAGAAGCAAGTCTATCGTGTGGCTATATTTCGGCTTGAAAGCAGATGAAAAGGGACAACCTTTGAACTCTGGCGAGGCAGTCTGTCGTTTATGCCGAAAAATAGTGCTTGCAAAAGGTGGAAATACCACGAATTTAAGAAGTCACCTGAGACGTCGACATCGTGCAGATTTTTTCGAGACCACTTCTTCCACGACATCTGGAGCTTTGTTTGAGGCTCAAGGTGATTTACCACCAAACTCAGCTCTTTCACTGCAACAATTTGGGAATCTAAAGTGTGCATCAAATTTGAGTCATATTGCATTTGCTGCCTTTGCCACAACTGCATGCATGTTGCCCCCCAGTACTGACAAAATGCAACTGCAGTGGGGCACTATAAAGTTGCACTGCAGTGGGGAGCAGTCAAAGGTGAAAAAATAGTTCCTGACTCTGATGCTGTGTAGCCTCGATGCACACACTGGGCTGTTTCTTTAGAGCTAAGACCACGTGGTATTGTATACGTTGTTTTATTTAGCTGAATATTTAATGTTGTAACCAAACATGCACTGAGTGCGCTTAGTGTGTCACATACATGAATGCAACATTTAACTCCGAGCATGCGTTGTGATTGTATCAGTGTAGGCTACAGCGACACTCAACCTATCGTAACATCTGCCAGCAAGTTATTGAGTAAACGGTGTTCATTTTTAAACAGGGGTTTATTTATCGTCAAGCAATGTCATACATAATGTATAATCCACGTCGTGTTTTAGGGTCACTGGTGAACTGTACACCACACAATGCAGAGTGTTTATTTACGCCATGCAACTGCAAACACAAACCAACTAAAGAGGCTTGTACGCATGCGCAGAGAGGGTACGACGAGATCCACAAGTCTGTTTTACGGCATTCTTATACCCTTGTTGCCATGGTATCACCTGAACAGTCATTCACGCAGTCCATTGAAAGGAGCTGGCGGTGACGTAAAGGGGTTATTTTGTTATTAAGCACATCATTTGTTACGGGATACTTTGCTGTTGTCCTGCTGGTATGATGTGTCGTAAATAACGACAGTTATGCGGTTGGTGCAATTATTAGCCAGTCAGAGCCGCCATCTTTAGCGTTTTAAATTCCCATTTTCTAAACCCCACCGACTCTTCAATATAAGCTGAAGACGACTGTGTTATAATAGCCGTATAGCACCGGGAACCTGACTACTTGGGCGGTATCACTCCGCTTTGTTTACATGGCCAAAACCTAACACCTTTGCTCGCTTCATTTTACATTCATGACAAAGCACAGCTGAGGGAGCTATCAGCCAACATTATGAATGCAGACCTGAGGGATTCTCGTGAAAATGTGGATTTGTTTGAGCCTGAGATGACAACTAAAGGTGAAATCATTCTGAAAGAAGAGGATGAGTCACGAGAAGAGGAAGAATGTGAGGTAAATGCCACTGACATTTCTAGACATGCACTGGTATCGGACTTCGAACTGAATGAGCTTGAAGACAGCAGGACTGAAATCAGTAAGGTTACAAAGAAGCAGACGACATGGGCTGTGAACTGCTTCATTGGCTGGTTGGAGTCCCAGGGGCTCCAGGTGGACCTGACTACAGCGGAGAAGACTGAGTTGAACGGGCTGCTGAGACACTTTTATGGATCAGTACGCAACAGCAAAGGTGAGCTGTATGGGATCGCTAGTTACATTGCACTGAGAGCTGGACTTAACCGGTACTTCAAAGAGCCTCCCATCAGTCGCCCTGTGTGCTTAATGAGAGATGCTGAGTTCACCTCCGCCAACAAGGTATTCTTGGGAGTGCTGAAGAGAATTAGGAAGTCTGGTCGAGACGTAACATCACACCATCAGGCACTGTCTCCTGATGATATCCGCATCCTCAGACACTCACGCGCGATGGACACTAGCACTCCAAGGGGACTTCTGAACAAAGTCTGGTTTGATGTACAGGTACATTTTGGCCGCAGAGGGAAGCAGGCTAACAGGAATCTGAAGCCGGAATCGTTTCTGATCAGAAAAGACGAGAGGGGTCTGAGATACTGCACTTTATCCTTTGGTGATGAGACAAAATTTCAAATTGAGAAGGACCGATGCTGTATGTTTGAGAAGCCAGGCAGTGAATTCTGTCCCGTTACTTCTCTCTTAAAGTACCTCAGCAAGCTTCCAACTAACGCAACCGCCCTGTACTTGCAGCCTAAGAAGGAGCTAACAGATGAAATGTGGTACAGTCACGTCCCACTGGGAGTCAATTATCTAGGCTCAATGCTGGCCCGCATGTGTAAAGAAGCCGGCACATCGGTCATCTATACCAATCACTGCGTCAGAAGCACACCCTTTCACCAACTGTGTGACGCAGGACTGGAGGAGAGAGAAATTATTCCTGTCAGCGTGCACAGGTAGGATCAAATTCACCTCTTGTCATCTTAATTTACATTTATCCCAGCACACCTGCTTAAATTACTTAAATATCCTTTTATAACAGGTGTGAAATCTCCCTCCGAAGTCACCAGACGGCACCCCTCGCTATCAGCTATCAGCAGTGGAGCGAGATATTGCCAGAGAGTGGCTCAGCTGGCCCAGCAGGTCTGCCACCAGACAAGTGGGCACCCCTAACAGAAGTTCACTCAAGTGCACACATTCTGCCCCAATGCTGCAATGGATTCATTATTTTAGTAATTACAGTCTAAATGAAATGTTCAGATAAATGTCTACAGAAAGTCAGAATGAACTAATGCGATGCTGGATACGACACGCTAAAGAAACATACGTTTTCCTTGTTGGGGGAACAAAATAAAATGAATCAAAACAAACTCAAAGCTTCTGTCTTTGCTATGAATATCTAATGTAAAATGTTGTGTATTTACTACAATGTAATGTGTCTAATTTTTAATAGTAACAGTCACAAACACGCAGGAACATCCACAGAAGGTCTTGTCTCTATTTACTGTGTTGCTTAATTACATCTAATTTGTTAAAGAAACAGCCAACATCCCGCCTTGACCTATGGGTTTACCATGTCTCACCTTAATGCCATAATTAATTACTAATTATTTCTCTATTTTTTTCACCTCTCCAGCTCTGGATTTAAACCACGAAGAATTCTTCGAGGATGCTCCGTTTCTCCAGACCACATCAAACCAGAACTATGTCCCAGACGCTGTGCTGCCGCCTGGGGAGCCTTGGCTCCAGGGTGGACCCTCGCGGGCGGTGCTATCCCTGCCTTCCTGCCTGTGCCTGTGCGAGGACATTGAGTCTGGGAAGTCTGGTCCTGGATCTTCTGGTGAAGAGCAGATGCCAGAGATGAAAGTGTATGCTAAATGTCACCTTCAGCAGGGCGTCATGTTTGGGCCGTTTGCAGGAGAAGTGTGCAGAGGACAAATGCCGGCCAATCTCAAATATGCCTGGGCTGTAAGTACATATGTTTGAGTAGAACTAAAAAGGCAGTTTAAACTTTGTGCTACAATCACATTTAAAATCAATGATGTAACTTCTGACATGTGTCGTATAACCAGCAGGAATTCCACTCAGAAATGGGTATAAAAATAGTTGACATTCACATTGCTCCCATCTGCAGATCAGGGATGATGCTGCGTTTGTCTACATCGATGCTTCTGATGAAAACAAATCTAACTGGATGAGGTGGGCAGTTCTTACAGATTCAAAGTAGTTTCCTTTATCCTTCTGCTTTAATTTCTTCTAAGGCAGTCTGACATTCAGGCAGTCGTAGTGTGTGTATTTTTGATCACAGCATTTGTCTGCTTACTTTCCTGCTCACAGTCGCACACTTTACGTGTTTGATCTATGTTTCAGGTATGTAACATATACCAGCAGTGAGAAGGAACACAATCTGGTCATCTTCCAGTTTTACCGTCACATCTACTACAGGGTTACCCAGCCCATCACCGAGGGAACAGAGCTCAGGGTCTGGATCGGCAAGGATTATGCCACCTTGTTGGGCCTCGGGATGGGTGAGTTCACTCAATGATGCATAGATCTGAGCAGATCTATATTAGCTTTTCACTTTCACATTCATTTTCAACCGATTTAGACTTAAATTTAATTGTATATAATAATTATTTTGAAGGTCATAAACTGATAATTTAGCTTGCTAAAACTGGCCAACATCCTATGCATTTGTCTTTGTTGGGGAGATACAGGTGACAATGTTAAATGTGAACTTGGAGACAAGGAGACCGTTCTGCGGCTCCTGCAGGACATCCAATTGGTCACTCTCCCAGAGCCTAGCAGCTCTTCCCTTTGGTCAGACCACAGCCAATCACAGAGCCCCATGCTTGTCATCAGTGACGTGACGACAATGTCTAACTTGGACGCAGCTAGTGATTCTGCCATGATTTCTGGCTCTGCCTTCCCCTCCTCCTCCGTGATCTCCTTCCCATCCCCTAGCTCTCACATGCTGGAAAAGTATGATTTTATGCCTGGAACTGAGAAACTGCTGAGTAACCCAAACGCCTCACAGAACAGCCCGTGGTACTTCTTTGGATTTGAGCCGGACCCAACAGGACGGCCTCTGGACCGGAGCACTGCGGTGTGTAAGCTGTGTTTGGAACATGTGGGCTGTGGGGGGGGAGCAGTGGATCTCCAAAACCATCTGACCAACAAGCACCACATCAGACCACGTGACAGTAACAGGGAGCGGAGTCTTCTGACAATAGGTAACTATTACTGTCTACTGCCTGTTTGCTTTCCACTTCAAATAGTATCAAAGTTACAAAGATAAATTTGTTAAATATTGTCACCAAAAGGAATGATATCCTACTATACTAGCAGTACGTACTGATTTGGCCTAAATGTAGTCTGTAGTATGCAGTATGACAAAACATCTCGCAGTATTCATCGCGCCAGTCTACCTTGTGTATTATATCCCATAATGCAAAGCGCTAGAACGGTCACAACAACCGTTATTTATTTAATCAGGCAGCCTCAACAAGCTGCTATTGTTGTTTTTATTTTTTTTACTTTTATTCGAGTTTGTAACAAGTACAAACACACAAAAAAATTACATCAATACGACAAGTTCAAAAGTTAGAGTTTAGCACCAGGAGGGGAATAATATAGACAGATAGATAGATGTTTATTTAGTCCTGGTGGAAATTCATTTTGTGTCATACAGAAAACGTCAGATAAACACCATCAACAGACCAACAACCAGACAACCGCCCCGCCAACACGAACATCACCCCCGAGTGCTATACAAGTTATACTAAGGTGCAGCTCCCTGACACCCCAAGATTCAGCTCTGTTTTTTAAATCTTATCCTTTGTTAAGAAATCCAATACTAATGGGCTCAAATGACCTGCAGGCCCGGTTGGTTCGGAGAGATGGCACCCTAAACCTTCTGCCTGATGGTAACAGCTCATACTCGCCAAATAGGGGATGTGATACATCTCTAATAATCGCCTGCCCCTTCCTCACCAGTCAGGTCATCGTCATGCTAGTTTGCTGTACCCCGGCAGTCTTACTGGACATATTAAATGTCTTATGCAGTTTATTTTTATTATTCACTAACTAAGGATCTATATAAAAATTTTAAATACAATGAAAGCTGTTACAATTTCAATTGCTTTTTGCTTTGGAGACTGTTGAATTGAGAAAATGTTTTGTTTGAACTCTTTTGTAAAGGCAAGAAAACTCTGTTTCTTATCCGTAAATTTACATTTACGAATATGAAATTTGGCTGTTATGGTAACAAGATTAATCAAGTACACATACTGTAAGTGTTTCTCTCTGTGTGATTTTCTGGGATACCAAACAAAACATTCTTCCAAAGTAAAATGCACAGCAGTTTCTGGACATCCACCATAGAAACTACAATTCCCATCAATGTCCATCTTAATTCTATTCCTAACATCGTTGTTAGCTGGATAGAATTTATGAATGAGTTTAAATTTTGTTTCTTTGAGTGATTTGGTATCTACTAGGTAGAAGCCACGCCCTCTTCCATACTATATCATACACAAATTGATTCCAGTATGGGGTCACATATGGTATTGTAATATCTCTTTAGAACAGCGCTCTTATAGATATGTTGCTGTTACCAGAATGACAAACAAATTTTACCTATGGGAGTGCACTTGGCTGAGATTTGAAACTCCAGAGGGTTTTGCACCTAAGACTTTTACGTAGACCTCAGGTGTAACAGCGATATTCTGACAGAAATTCTTTAAGATTCTTGAACGATTGTAAAATGAACTGATGCTCCACTGAATCAAAAGCTTTACAGAAGTCTAAAAATAACATGAATTCGTTATCATCAATCAATTCTGAGTTATCCAGAATGTCCAGGATAAACCTGTTTCTACAATAACAGAGTTCAACACCATTTTAAGACTTTTAGCCAATAATAGAGCAAATATCATGTAATCTTTATGGAGCAAACTAATCAGACGCCAGTCGTCAATAAATAATTTATCTTTGTTGGGATTGGGAATTAGCGTAGTCACCCTTTTTAGTCATGGTGGTTGGGAGAGATTCTGCAAATACTTTGAATAAAAAAGGAGCCAGTTTATTAGCAAATTATTTTTGAAGTCTTACTTTGTGATTTGTTGTTTTTTAGAAGACAAATTGCTTTTTTAATCTCATCAAACGTAATAGGTTTCTCACATAACTCCATTTAATTTTTATTAATAGATTTAGTGTTCAAAAAAGGTCTCAGCTGATTCTTGGCACAATTTGGAGCTCTATAAATCTCTGTAAAAGTTACAACATTAACTGGATATTATTTTGAAGTCCTCTGAAACAACCCCATTAATATTTAGTCTATTTATATTGTTATCATTAGAACGATCTTTGTCTAAATTAAAAAGAAAAAGTGAAGACTGTTCCCCTCCTTCAAGCCATTTGGCTCCAGAACTTATAAATCCAACATTTGCTTTTTGACTGTATAATTCATCGAGGTAGCTAAGAGCTGGTCTTCTTCTCTTCTTCTTCAGCTCTTTTGGCTTTAATACTATCTCATGTTTTCTTAAAAATGGACCTGCCTCAAATTTGAAAAGTTCCCAATTAGTTTCAACTTGTTTTTCTTCTTTGGACCAAAAACTATGAAATCAAAGATGTAACTTGTATTATTTGTTTTTTTTTTAACTTAAAAAGCTTTTGAGTTTCCACAACACTGACTGAGCAGCAACGCTTTTACAGGTGGATAATTTCATCTTGATGTGTTTAGCCTTAAGAGGAGTTGGTCATATTCCCACATCAATAACAATTATCTTCCTCCTAAGGTTGACTTCCGCTTTCCATAACCGGAAACAGACACGACACTGGCTAAGCCTAGCCTAGCATGCTGCAAAATAAATCCACGTTAACAAGTTTCGTGCTAGTCCTGTTTGCATACTGCTATGAAACGCAGTTTGCGGTACATACGCTGTATATACGGCACACTGTGGTCGCCGGTAACGTTAGTATGTTGACGTTAGTAACTTAGGTGGTTCCGAAAAAGCCGTCTGCAGCCATGCTAGCTAGCTGTGAGGCTGTACTGTGGCAACATGCTCACAATAAAAATGCTAAAATGCTGATGTTCAGCAGCTATAATGGTTATCGTTTTTACTATTATATTTTAACGTAGGGGTGTCCCGATCTGATCTTAAAGATCGGAATCGGGGACGGCCAAGGCTGATCCGTATCCGCTTTAGTTTATCACGAACCCGAGGCTTGTTTTACGTTAGCTACCGCAGGGCTATCGCACACGTGTCGTAAACTGAGAGCGCAGTGTGGCTGCAGGACGCGGCGAAAATGTCTGCAGTGTGGAAATATTTTAAATTGGACAACGAAAGCAGTAAAATAGCCACTTGTAATGTCTGCAATGCGAGAATTTCGCGTGGCGGTAGTAGCAGATCTGCGTGCAATACTACCAATATGATACGGCACCTACAGCATAGACACCCACTGGAGTACAGAGACTTCGCACTGAGATCCCGGGCAAAGGCTGCATCGAAGCAAAGGAGAGAGACATGTCTTCGAGACAACGACAAGGACAGAAAGTTTACAGAGAGTGTATTTGATTTCATTGCTATGGATGATAAGCTCATCGCTGTAGTGGAGAACTCAGGTTTGTTGAAAAAAGAACACCAATGCTGCACTAAGTGGGATTGTAATAAGAGCAATATGAAAACAATTGCAGTTTGTTTACCTTGTTATTTTGTACAGACAATTTAATAAGTCGAGGAACAGCTTGGATGCGGGCATGTTTTTCTTAAGGTTTTGCAGAGCTATTCCATAGTCAAGCATATTGGATTGATTTTAATAACTAATAACTGTGCAACTATATTATCTAAGGTAAAACAAGTATTGGATCGGGACTTGGTATCTGCGGATACTCAATATCAAATGATGATCTGATCTAGATCAGGCACAAAAATACTTGATCAGAACGTCCCTATTTTAGCGTGTCGGCCTTATTTCATTTACTAAATCGCGCTACACAAAATGCACACCTGAAGGCTGATGGGAGTGTCATGACCTTTAAAAAACATCTGGTCATAAATGTGTGTACCACATTTTCATGGCAATCTATCCAAAAGCTGTTGAGACATTTCATTAAAAACCACAAATGTTGACCTCAACGAGGCACTAGATTATCAAAGTCATTAGGATATATCCTACTGGAACCATGAATGTGTGTACCATTTGATGTCAATTCAACTAATATATTTTGAGATTTCTCAGGATAAGTGAAAGTGGCTGAAATTGAACAAAATTGATCTACAGCTTAAACAGGCGTTTGAAGCGTTTTTGCTAATTAAAGATTTGTTCTTTTTCACCAAAGGTCAACAACGCTCACAGCCAGTGATGGTTAACAGCGGTCTGGTCAGTACACTCCCCCTGGTGCTGTCTGCCCATGTGACCGAAGCCATTGCCAACTTTCTCATCATGGATCTTCAGCCCCCAGGTTTGGTTGAAGGAGAAGGCTTCAAACAGTTGATCCACACCCTCCTGCCCTCCACCAAGGAGCTGCCTTCACCTTGTCAGCTCGAAAACCTCCTGAAAGAACACCACACCAAAGGTAAGACGAACCTGGCTCAGCTACTGAGGAGGAAAATGGGAAGTGGAGAAAACGAGGAGATTTTGGACTACACTGCTCCCATTGAGTTTGAGCCCAGGAGACGTGGGCGACCTCCGAGCCATCGCAGGGATGTTCCCCATTTTGTCACTTTAAGTGTGGATATTTGGTTCCACAACTGGCAGGGCAACACCGAGAGGTACCTCACCCTCTGGGCACATTACATAGACTGTAATTTCTGTTTTCAGAACATGGCTCTGGCAACCCAAAGACTGACAGACAATGACAATGATTACAGCCTTCCAGCAGTGGAGGCTCAAGTGAAAGTGATGGCCCAGGAGTGGGGAATCTCCCAGCCTAATCTAGTCTTGCTGGGAGGGGAGGGAAGGAACAAGATGAAGCTGGGGCCAGTTAAGAGCGAGAAAGGTGGAGACTGTGCAGGGAGCCTTCCTCACCCCAACTCAACAACGTTTCTTGAGAGGGACGACTCTGTGTCACCTGAGGAACCACACCGCTCCGAGCATGGCCATTCTAGTGAAGGACTACCATCTGTGCCATGTTTCTTCAGCGCTGTGCAAGGCTGCATTGAGGAAGTAATGTCACACCCCGTCATCTCCAAGACCCTCTGCCAATTCCAGGGCATTCTCTCAAACCTGTTCCTGCCACCTGCTCAAAACAAGGGCTTGTATCAGACCCATCAACTGAGTCTGTTGCAGACACTGGTGAAAGAGGAACAGGCAGAGCTGAAGTCGTGGGCTCACAGCCGGCCAACGTGGAATAAGCTGTACCCTCTACTGAGCACGCTCATCAAACATAAAAGCCTTTTCTGTGATATGATAAAAGAGATTAAAGGTGAAGGCTTGTCTAAAGAAGACACTTCGTCAGAATCCAGTTCATCTGGCAGCTGCCACGCAAACTCCACCTCCAACACGTCCTCAACAAGCGCTATGACTTTGCGATCTGAATGGAAGGTTCTGGAGGAGCTGTGTTTGGTCCTCAAACCTCTGGACGTGGCGTGTCGGACTCTCGCCAAGGAGGCGTTCCCCCGCTTGTCCCTCATCAAACCCATTCTCACCGGCCTGCTCTCCCGCCACCTCATGTCGAGGCCGGGGGATTCGTCATCTATCCTAAAAGAAGTGAAGAGGATGATGAGGCGGAAATTGGCGAGCTGTTACGACAACCCTGTTGTCAACAGGGTTCTGTGTGTGGCATGTTCCCTCGACCCCCAGTTCCACGGGCTGGGCTTCATGGAGGAGAAGGTGAGTCATAAAGTAGTTCAAATGCAGGGAGTTGACTATTTGCTTAAACCCGCCCCCCTTAGTTACCGTTAAAATGCCTGTCAAGCGTTCTGTTCTTGCATGGTGTATATGCAGTTTATAGTTTTTATTATACATATAAAGATTCAAATGTACTGAGAGATTTCTGTTTTCATGCTTATGTCCATTTCTGGTGCTACTGGCCAGGAAGACTGAGTTACATTAACTTGTGAGGCGGCTTGAACTGTTCAAAAATCCTTCTGTGTAACTTGACTAATCCACAATCATAGGACAGTGTGTGTTATGTAAAGGATCTTTCTGTTGTTTTCAAGGAGCAGACAGCCATTTTTGATTGGCTGAAGAAAGAGGCTGTCAGGATTGTGAAGGAGGACAGCAGGAGAAGCCAAGGCAAGATGCAAAGCCAGTGCAAGAGAAGCTCCTCACCCGGTTCACCGGAGTCAGAGAGTGACTTCCTGCGGAGGAGCAAGCGCCTCAAAGAGTCCCGCCCAATCAACTTCAGAGAGATGGAAGATGAAGATGAAGAGAGCGATGCAGGGGAGGCCGACGAGAGCGAGCTGGCAGATCCAGGCTCCCAGGGTGGGCTCACTGGTATGGAGTTCCTCCTGGGAGACCTGTTCTGCTCTGCTCCCAGGAGCAGGCAGAACTCCGTGGAGGAGTCTATAGAAATGGAGATGTCTGTGTTCAGAGCAGACAAGGGGGCTTCGCTGGGAGTGGAGCCCCTGCAGTGGTGGAGGACGAAGGCAGTGCAGTTTCCACTGTTGGCCACAGTGGCACGGGCCTACCTGGCAGCCCCAGCGGTGGCAGGTAACGCTGCACAGGACTTTGTGCAGGAAGGAGCGGGAGCCATGTACAAGAAGAGAGCCAACATTCCACCAGAAAGTTTGGACACAATCTTGTTTCTGCACCACAACCACATGCCCGCCACCGAGAGTGGGCAAACGGCAATTAGGAATGATGACAAGAACAGTGGGATTGAGAAGGTCTTATAAACACACAAAGAACATTCATGGCTTTTTTCCCCCCAAGCTCTCGATTGAACCCACTCAGCTACATGTGTAACTCCTACCCTCATCTAAATTTAAACAATAACTGTTCAAACCATAAACCGAAACCCTAACACAAAGTGATCCCATCAAACAAAATGAGGAACAGCACAATATCCCCACTTAGAACACAAACAGGGTGCTGAGGTTGGAGTGCACACAGAGGTACATATAGAAAAGTGTAAAGTAAGTGCATATTAGGAATTATTATATTTTGGGGGTTGAAGGTTTGGCTTCATTGAACTAAATGTTTATTCAGCCCTATTTGAGCAGCAAATAAAATGTAACTTTAGAGATTATTTTTTTCCCCTAAAAGAAAGAGGGGTGTATTATTTTAATTTTTTATTTCCTGGATACTAAAGAGAGGAAAGACCGAGACAAAGAAAATCTGCTTTGTGCTGTTTACAGTTTGGACTATTATACTTCTGATCTACATTTAACTTTGCTCTGTGTATAAAGTACCCTGTAGCGCCTAGTGCCTTACCTCTTTGGGATACAGTCATATAATAGATTGGTAGGTATTCCTAATTTCTATTTTTGTGAAAACAAGTGTCTGATAAAGTGTGTAGGTTGTCTGTCAAAACATATATGAAAGTCCTCCATGGTAGCACTGTATGAAACTACTACCATGTGCCTTTGCTTTTACATTACCACTTGTTTTGTGTGTTGTGAAATAAAACCCCAAAGATCAAATACTAGCTTAAGTGAAACCTAAAATGTTTTTTAAAACATTAACATAGTTTGATTCACTTTTTCAGCACTACATTGTACACTGTTAACGTAATGTATGAAGCTTATTAGCACAATGTCTGTATTGTCGTAGATTGTGATGTTCTTGACATCTTTGCATAATCATGTACATGCAGAATGTCTTCTGTCTTTGATGTCTTACTGTAATGGAAACATACCTGTCGCATACTTTTTTTTTTTTTTTTGAATAAAATATGGAATTTAAGCTGGTCATATAAAAATGTATTCATGAAAAATATACTGGGTATAAACAGCACACAGGACAGTAGTTTTATTTGGACTGTACATTGTGTGCTCTGTATACAGCACATTAAAGCTCAGTAGGGATGGGTATCGCTACATGATACCTTTTTAAGGTATCGACCAAAATAGCCTAGTATCGAGTAGTATCTCTACTCAAACGAGTACTGCATAGGATACTTTCTGGAACCAAATCGAGGCAAACTATGGCTAGAATATTTGTGTGGTTTTGCTTGCAGCCAGGGACGCAAGCAACAGACCCTCCACGTCTGCTGCGGTCTCAGGTATGTTTGTCACTGTTGCAAGATTATCACCACAAGCTTGGCTTTCCGTTGCTTTCAAAGTTTGATATCCTTTTACACTACTCCGTACGTTTTTATTTGCAATTGACGTGCCTTGTCACCGATCGATCACTGCGTTCCATCATATCAATTCCAATGCTTTTGTGGCGCAGCAGCTCATCAGCTGATTTTACTCACTGAGCCCCCGGCTGATGATGCAGCTGCGGCTGATATCCGATGTAGTTTATGTGGTTGGCGGCACGTTCAACCTCTTTTCCTGTTTGCTTCTTTAGACTGTTTAGTGTAGTGTAGTTTAATGACTTGTTTAAGCCGACTCCTTTCTCATTTATCATTTCTTTTTGGAGGTTTACAACTCACTGCTAAAGGAAAAACCATCTTTCATTTCAGTTCCTCGAGATTTACTGATCAAAAGTTAACAGAACAATTCTCCGTTCTTTATTTTAAACAAATGTGTCAAAACTTAAATTTGTTTTCCACAACTCTGGTCACTAAACTATTCACTCTCATTCAAATAAAAATTAATACCATTCAACTACTATGGCATCAACAGGTGGCACTGTTTGCAAGGTATCAAATGAAGTACTCTATTGGTATTGGTATCACTTTAAGGTGGTGCTATGGTACTCTTATAACATTTTAAACGATACCCAACCCTAAAGCTCAGTAAAGAAATTTCAGTGAAGCACTTATAAAATATAGGCCACAAAACAATCATATTGTTTATTCAACTAACACATTTTGGATAATAGAAAACATTTTTTAAAAGCATGTATCTGACCTCACAAGCAGTGAAACATTTGAAATGTCATCAGTGCACTTAGGTTAAAGAAAAGTTTTACAAAAAAAACATTTGACCCCTGAACAGTTAAGTCTAGAAGTTAACTAAAGCACTTGAATGACCATCACTATAACTTTGCTTCAGCCATTTTGGAGCCATTAGTGACTTCAGTGTGGGCGTTGCCGTCTCTGTGGCGGGCTACTTTCCTGCAGTGGATGAAGACGTAGACAGGATGGATGAACACCAGCAGAGTGAGTATAGTCAGAGCAATGTCCACCTGTAACAGATTAAAACAGTTATTGACTGTTGGCACAAACTAAGATTTTTTGCATTTCTCAAAGTGTATGTATGTGCTCGCGACCTAAATGTGTTTTCCACAAGGATTTGATATTCACGCAGAGGTGTTTTTCTAAAAACTATTATTTAAACTTTCTTGAGCACTTACATAAAAGGGGTCTCCTCCCAGAGCTCCTTTGACCAGGGCAAAGCAGGGGTACTGCAGCAGAGAGACAATAGCAGACATGGACATCACCAGGCCGTACAGCTTCCCAAAGTGGCAGGCTGGAAAACTGAGAGAGGGGGAGATCCGTCATTTCCACACATACGTCTATGACTTTGTGTCTATGCAACAAAAAATATGGTTAGGTTACAAAGAGGCTGAGAAATCCTGACGTTTAGTTTAGAGCTCCAGAAACCCTGGATCCTACAATTCCCACAATAAAACTCAGTAGCATCTTTGTGCAGAAGTTTGTGACTCAGTTTTTAAAAAGAATATTGAAGTCTTAAGCCCATTGCAAAATAATGCAGATGACATCATCAGGGATGTTTTTTTCCCTATATTAGAGAGCTCACTCCAGAGGCTTGTAAGACATGCAGCTGTTGTCACAGCCTGAGAAGTACTCCTTGTGACAAGTACACTGATTTTAGTGTGTAAAACTGGTGGAGTGCTCCTTTAAGTCACAATTACTGTGGCATGCTGCACCTGTCATACTCACATACATGTATTTAAATGACTACTAGTATTCATTATGTTTTGCATGTCCACCAGCATTCCAGCATTTATGAAGTCAATTTCACTTTAATGAAAGATAGAGAAGTTACTTTATTAACGTTAACTTTAGAGTTATACACCTCAACTCTTTGCTCTTCATAGACGATAGTGTCAGGTTAGAAAATTACATTCCAGTAGCATCTTATCTGATTTGTGGGATGGGTAATAGTAAATTGACTGTACTTAAGTAGCGCCTTTCTAGTCTTCTGACCACTCAAAGCGCTTTACAATATGTGTCACAGCCTTCAGGAGCAGTTTGGGGTTCAATATGTTGCCCATGGACACCTCGCCATGCAGACTGGAGGAGCTGGGGATCAAACCACCGACCTTCCACTTGCCTTGGGCAACTTGCTCTATCTCCTGAGCCACAGCTGTAACGCTTTACGACTGGTGCAAAATCTGCACTCTTGCTTATTTGGTGTGAAACTGGTGTAGAAATCTAAATTTTATAGTATAAATGAGTTTTAAAGCGACAACACACCTTAAAGAGGTTCAAAGACACCAGAGAGTTGCTGCCAGAACTGCAACAGTCCCAGACGTTGAAAAATGATGTAATGTTTGGAAAATCATGGTGGCATACTGTATGTCGACCATAGGAAAACGGCATTATAAAAGAGAAACACTACATATGTCAACTGTGAAATACCCTAAACTGTATATTTGTTTAACAATTCAGAAGTGACCATCAAGTCATGTCTCAGTTTCAACGAGACTTCTTTTGCAGAACTGTCGTATTGTAAGGTGTTACTTTTATTTTGTCTATCCCCTGTGTGTGTGTGTGTATGTGTGTGTGTGTATGTATGTGATAGCTACTCACGCAATGCTAATGAACGCTGCATTTCCCCCGTAGAGGAAGGAGCGATTGAGGACTTGTAGAATAAAAGTGAGGTACTGCAGTGGGAGGAAAGAAACGGAGGCGCACACAGAGAACAGCAGGCACTGCAGGGAGGTTAGGAACAGAGACAGACAGGAGGAGCGCAGGTCCGCCTCCTGCTCGGTTTCTCCTACAGGAGGAAAAATGGTTAGAAAGGACTGAGTCAAGCTGATGTGTTGCAAACACATGCAGTTATAACACAAGTCACTGATTTACCAGGAGCCAGAGGTTTTCCTTTGTGTCTGTCCATGATGAGTCCATTCCATGGAGCACACAGAACTCCACACAGCTGGGTCATAGCAAAAGCATTGGTGTACTGACTCACTGAGGGAAACATGGACAGAAGGAAACAGCCACACAGAGAAGCAAAAGAAAACAGGTGATGGGGTTGGATAGCGATAATGAGAAGAGGGAATAGAAAGGTCAGAGAATAAGGAGAACAAGGAGAAAGCTTTAAATCACAGTCAGTCAATACATGTGACAAAGTGGATCAGTGTCTTTAATAATAAGTTACCCAGGTTGGGGTCATTGTTGGCCAGGCGGTTGAGCATGGGGTTGAGCGTGCCAATAAAGAGGTAGTGCCTCAGCTGCATAATGGACAACCACACCAGGTGCCACAGGAAGAACCAGGACAGCACACAGCTCCGGAAACTCGCCACTAAACCCGTGGAAATTCACATGAAATCAAGACATTAACTATTCTGAAAATCTAAATCAAGTCCACACACTGACCTTTATTTAGTATAGCACATTTCACGGAGCGAGGTTACAAAGTTCTTCACAAGAGTTTAATTGTTAAACACACACAATTGCAAAAACTAGAGGCCAGTAAGAATAAATGAGTCTTCAGCTGCTTTGTAAGGAATCATCAGAGACAGCAGAACATAAGTCTATGGTAAGAGACTTTCACAGCGCCAGAGCCACCATTTCAAAGGTATGATCAACTTTTGTTTTCAGTCGAGTGTGGAGAACGACCAGTAAGCCCTGGTCAGAAGACCTATGTGACCTACTGGAGATAGAAAGGTGGAGCAGGTACACAGGTAGTGCCTGACCATGCAGGGCTCCATGTGTGAAAACAAGAACCTTAAAATGTATCATGAACCTGATGGGAAGCCAGTGTAAAGAAAATAGAAGGGGTGTGATGTGAGTCAACATGTAGGATCTGGTCAACAGCCTTTCAGCAGTGTTTTGGACCAATTGTAGATCTGATCTGTGTAGTTCTGACAACTTGTTTCACTTATTTTTCTAGTATTTCCTGGTTTTTTCTTCCCAAATGTGGGGATTTTCTGCTTTTCTTTGTCATATTTGACAGTCATTTAAAAATCTTTAACTTTTGGACTGTTGACCGGACAAAACAAGCAAATTGGAAACACCACAGTGCATTCGAAGAAAATGTAAATGTTTCTTTTTACAATTTACAAGCGATAATGAAAATGATCATTAGACACAGCCCTAATGTACATTAAATCATAGTAGTCCAAAAGTCATATAGTTCCTCAATTGGCTTTTTTACTGTTCCTGGTCGTACGCACAGCTTACAGAGCTTTGATTGGATGAAGTGCTGTTCGCTTATTTACAGTGTGTGTGTGTGTGTGTGTGTGTGTGTAAGGGTGGAAACAATGGATATACGGAAGAGTTTTTGGACTCTACTCATCACAATGAGTAGAGTTATTGATCATTGATCTTGTTTTCTGCATAGGAAATAGAGAGGCCCACTTATTAGTTTTTAATGCTATACTAATTATTATTATTTATTTTATATATTATTATTGATGTACCTTTTCCTGAGTCTTGGGCCCCTGTCCCGTCCTCAGGTGCTGGTGGCACGTTGTCCCTCCCACAGGACTCCTGGGAAAGTGTCATCGCACCTTCCCTCGTCCCCTCAAACTGCTCTACGTTGTAAGTGTTGGCCTTTTCGCAATTCAATCTGCATCGGGAGAAGTAAATGTCTGTCATGTCACATCTGTAATGTTGATCTACAGACCTACTGCAGTAGCTGCTTCAAAGACCAACTAATGTTCTCACCCGTAGGTGTAGCCTTGTGGCAGGGTGTAGGGGATGTGGGTTCTGGGCATCAGTAGGAAGGTCCTCAACAAGTGTATGATGCTGCAGAAGGACAAAACAAGGAAGGAGGAATGGAGAGAAATTCCCTGTTCAAATAGTACCTGGAAGGCAGAGGAAAAACTCTTGGTTAAACTTAAAGAAAATAGGTAATAGCAATTTTGTATAATCAATTTAGTCTCTATCTATTCTTGAACTCATTCACTGTTCACTATTTAGTCCATCATAGTACTTTGAAGCAAGCTGTCTTACTCTAGTGAGAAAGACCAATGACCGAGTGCAACCTACCATCCAGCAACGTGAATGCCCAGATTAGTGCCTTTTTTTAAAACTTCCCATCTAGTAAATGGTTTCAGATGCCGCCAGATTATAACGGCTCCACTGACACTACTGCACTCCTTTACCTTAATGATGAGAAACACAGCTGCAGAGGAGTCAAAGGCACCATTGTAGAGGGTGATGATGGTTGAGCGATGAGCAGCAAACAGGTTGCCCACCTTTCCGACACACAGAGACACAATTCAGCGATGCAAACTTTATAGTTAGGTCTATGGGTTAATGGCGAGTTCAAAGGTGCATGAATTATGATTTATCTTGAACATATAGTATGTTTCTATGCTAAGATGTGTATACAGAAATATTCACCTGCATGTTAGTTAGGAGGAGCAGAATTCCTCCCACGGCGATGCAGGAGAGGGCAGGAAAAAGCAGCTCTGAAAATGCTACATGACGGTGGAAGACAAACTTAAGAAACACTTGCCTTGATTATGTTCTGATGACATGATTGTAAACTTACCCAACCCCTTCACTTAGTTAGTGCTAGCGTCCAGAGTGACAGCAGAAAAGTTGGGTGTTTAAGTACTAATGAACAGCTCATCCAAGTATGATCTAGCAGGAGAGCGAAACTTGGGTCCTGTGGCAGTAATGTCAATGGCATAGTACGGTGGCCCTGAAGTGCAAACAGCAAATCACCACAACACGACAGTAATTTGCCACATTTGTGAATTGCTGTGGTGTTGTGGCAATTTGCAGTTGTGTTGTGGCAAAATGCTGTCATATGCGAATTGCTGCTGTAGTTTGCACTTCAGGGCCACCGTAGTATAGACAGCTATATGAAAATATATTTTCAAGGGATAATTAAGAATTAAATATAGATTTGATATGATTACGGCATGAATTATGTACGGTATCGTAATAACCTGGGTTTCAAGTAATAACTGCTGTTGTATTTCCAACACTAACAAGGAGCCTTCACACAAACCATATATCCCCGCTATGTCTAACTTTTTTTTATTTTACCAAGATAAAAACAGAAACATTTCTTTTCACAGGCAGTGCACTAAAACACCTTAATAAATGAAATAATCCAGATAATTCAGCTGCCAGAACAAAGTCATGCTAGCTATAGAGTTAATCAGGTAGTAAACAAGTTAACTTCTGTGCTAACTTCATTTAGCCATTATAGCTATTCAGCCCATTTTCAGATGTTAATGTTTCATGTTTCCAAAAGCATAAGTAATAGTTCGTGTTCACACACAATGTAAACCAATTAAACGCAAAGAAATCAGTTGTTTAAATGGCCACCTTAGGAACAAGGTGGACTACAAGAAAATGGCATGTTAGCCTGCTTCTGGGAAATTCTTAAAGTTAGCCTGCTTCTGGGAAATTCTTAAAGTTAGCACAATGCAACAAGCTGACAATTTGACAGGAATACTGCATTTTTATCACCATGGTGCAAACCATTTATTGTGTCTAATAACTCTAATATTATATTAAGGTTTTGGATGTTGAGAAGGTGTAGTGAATAACATGAAATGGTCACTTATTTGATGTATGTTGTGAATGCTTGTGCATGTGCACCTACCTGCACTAGATAAGGCAACAAGAATGGTTCCAACCGTGTACAAAGATCTGGAGAGAGAAGTGTGCCTGAATTTAGAGCAGCTAGATCCGTGTGTCTGTCATTTATCCACCAAAGCATACACACACTCAGGCACACATTTTTACACATCACACATAAAAAACAACAATGGTAAAGTTTTTCAACTTAAATTAGTTAATAAATAAGGAGGTGGGTTTGCATATTTGTAAAATACCTCCTTTAGGTGTTTTTCATGCGTAGGCTCTTTAACCTGATAACCTGTATCACGTGATCTAAAGATATGCGTGCACTGTAAGCAATAAATAAGTAAGCCTTATCGAAATTGTCAATGTGTAACGCAACAGCTCAAGAAATCAGCATACTTTACTGTCCCAGATAAGAAAGAACATGTATCATACAAGAATAAAATGGGGGGATGCAATTATTGGTTATCAGCAGGACATCCCTTCTGTTAGATGCTTTCCAACATCAACATGAATGTAGATGTGTTACACATCTCCAGGCACGTTTTTAGTGACAGTCTGAGCTCAAAGGGTTCAGTTTCTACCAAACACTGGCTCTATCCATCCTGAACTAGGCTCTCCAGGTCTTCTTCAACTTGTCTTGAAAAGGATTCAAAGCTGTAAATATTATAAAGGCACCACACCACAATTATGAGGGTCAATTAGGGTCTGGGGTCAAATGACGTGGGCTCTGCTTGACTGTAATCTCTCTGCCTCTGTAAGACACTCCCTACTTTTATCTCTGTAACCCTTACTGGCCCCCCTTCCCCCTTTTAACTGTTAACCGTAGCAATAACTGAACCGCAAACAGAAATATAAATATGAGCTCATGATTCCCGTATGGGCATGGTGCATTGAATAATAACTTATTTCAACTTATTTCGAGTGGTATAAACCACTTAAGCTTTTGTTTCATTCTACTATCTTAGTACACACAAGAGAAATGTCAATGAAAAGCCATTTGTCTGTCAACTAAAACCTGGGCAAACAATATGTCCATGACAGTTTTCAACTGCGGCCTTGAGATTTTCCTTCGGTTTTGTGGTTGGAGAGAGAAAAATAAGATGAACTCACATTCCCAGCAGCCTGGTCACCATGGTGCCAAATCGATCAAACAGGTAGCCATTGACTAGGCTCAGGAAGTTGTTGAGGAACGAGGCAACGGTGAAGACCAGAGAGAACTGCTCATCCTGTCTACTACAGTCTGTATGAAAGAAAAACAGAGAGAAAACTTGGGACATGATGGGATATTGAGCAACTAGTGGTGGACACCAAAATGTGTCTGCTAAATGCACAATAAATATTTGAATTAGATTCCTCGGGTGGCCAGAAACTTGACTCCAATTGGATGATAACATTGATTTGTGTCTGCTGGATGTGTATGTGGAAATGATTTGCTAACACTAGCCATAAAGACTGTCATTGTGTTTTGGAGTTCTTGTTTAATTGATAGTATTCGTACATTTTCTCAGTTGCTCACCTGTGCTATTGGTACCCGGGACAGTGACACACAGTTGACTGAAGTAGCCATCCTCCTTCAGCACAAACACCAGAGAGGCGAATCCAAACACAACTCCAGCAAAGCACAGACACTCCAACATCCCTGAGGCCAGAGTCAGCCTGTAGCGAAGCCCGGTGCCAACCTTGTACCTCTGCATGCTTCACTCCCCTTCTCCAGGTCACCAATAGGTTTACTTCCTGTATGAGTTTAGTCCTCAAAGAAAGTTGTTGTCTCTCTTTTTCGCTTTGGTTTTCTGTTCCTCTAATTCCTCTTCAAGTTGTTTTTTTAGAGTTCCCTTCAGCAAGTGCAGGGCAACAACGGTCACTGCTGGATTAACGTTTCTAACATACAGAACAAAATCAAAACAGGTGTGAGGGAGAGAGAGAGAGTTGTTCATCTTTCAGCTACAGCCCAAACAGTACAATATGACACAGCATTTTGTTTCACACCAATTCAGGACTGAGCAGCATTAGTGAAGCAGCTTCAATGGATTAAACTCATATGTTAACCAATTTACACCACACATTTGTACATATTTCTACAGCAATTTTACATTAGTTTCAAAACAATATTTAAAGAATGACTAGTGGTAAATATTGTTCTCAGTGTGGTTGCATAAAAGTTTTGCAGTTTTATAAGTTTTGTAGTTTGAAGATGATCTTAAACATGATATTTTGATATTGAGACTGGCAAAGACAGCAAAGACCTTGGAGGGAGATTACTGTGCTTGAACTGAAGAATATCTCTATCTCAGAATTCATTTACGGTTGTGATTATCTTGTGACTGCAGCTCAATGGCAGTGAAAACACATCTTGACAGCTACAATTACTGGTTACTTTGAGCTACTTTTTAGATTTAGATTTTATAAACTAGTAATAATAATCCTATAATGTAATTCATACTACAATACTAGTTTATGCAATATACTATACCATAGGTGTATAATAAATATATATACACACTGAAAAAATATAAAAGCTCTGAAGGGACCATTCTGAATATAAAGTATCAGTTTATTTTTTATTCTACATTACCTACATTTTGATGAAAATATTTCTATAGCCTACTTTTATTAAAGAAGAATTTTGAGCAGTATTTTTACATTTTGGTACATGCATAAACGACAGTGATATAAATTATAGGTATAGGCTATATTTCCCCTTTAAACTTCAAATACACTGAACAATCATATGTCCCTCGTCTTTTTCCGTGTCTCATGTCCAGCTCCCAGTAGCCTACACAGGACAGGGTGGCAGTTATCGGCAGCTTGACAGTAATCCAGATTAGTTCGCTTAATCTATGCGTACTGTCAGAACTAACTAACGTGGACACAAAACCTCACGAAATTAGCCCGTTGCAAGACGTTCTCCCTCCAAACTCGTCACATATGGGCACTTGGTCAATACCCCTTCACATGGTTTATTACAATTAAGAATCAAACACAACATGAGTGGACAGTTGAGATCGTAATATGAACAAAATACCTACCCATAAATGGTCAGTTTCTCTTTCATGGAGACTACAGTCATGTGACAAAGTACGCATCATTCCGCAAAAACCTGCGGTACCATTAACATCTGAAAAGCTGTTTACCTTGTAATTTCCTGGTGATACAAACATTGCAGTCCTCTTGGGCAGGGGCTCTGCAGGACAGTGACGAGCCATGAACTGAGCCGGTCTGTTTATCTGGTGTGCAGAGCTGCGCCTCACTCTCCCAGCCTGTCAGTCGGAGCGCTTGTAATCGCAACAGGTGGACACAGGGCGGGAGACCATATGGGTTTCTATTGCAGTAATTCTCACCAACTGTTTAATTGTGAATAATAGTCTAATCTCACGGATTTTCCATTATTTAGCTACATAATGAGAATATTTTAATTCCAGCCTTTATGTCCCTAAGATGAAAGAACTGTAGCCTATTGTAGAATCCAGCCAGCTTCAAACTTTAGCTGGTTTTGGGTGGTGGTGGGTGCTTTCACAATATGTATTAAACTTTTCTAAAAAGAGGTGGTATTGTGCTTTTTGGCTTTCCCCCTCTCATTTATTGAGTTTTATCTCTTTTTTGTGCATGTAACAGGTTTACAAAGTGAAAAAGCCCAAAGTCCAGAGGGAGCTAGTCTGAGCGGAGGCCCTTCGGCTCGACTCGCCTTTGTTTGGTTTTCCATTGTCTTGTAATCTTCATTGCGTGCACCAGAAGCCAGCAACAGTTTGCGTATGGAATTTCATCACTAAATCCACTTCTGGGAAGTTTTCACGTGAAAAATCAGCTGTGTAGATTTCGAATATTGACATTTGACGTTTTACAAGAAGTGATGGCGGAACAAACATGTGCTTGAATATTTTCAGAGTTGAGGACCTCCGCAAGTGGCTGTGGGGGAAGCCTGTGCCGACCCGCGGGAGGAGCGTGTGAGGCCGGTCAGCCGCCCGCTCACAGAGCCCTCTGCTCCCGCCGTCACACAGACCACTGCAGCAACAACGGCAGAGAAAAACACAGCTGGAAGGTTTTCATACCGCTTATCTGTCTTTACATTCTGAGCAATGTTGAAACGTTTTAACTTAAATAAAGAGAAAGCTGTATGTGGATCGCTGGTGTGTGTGTCGCATTGAACATTATGTGGAGGCAGTTGTGTGTGTCGTCGCTATGACAACAAGCTACGTACTATCTCTGGGTACTATCTGCAATGGAAAACAGAGCAGGGCCGAGTAGAGTCTAGTCTATCGATTTGCGCTATGGTAGTATTTTTCGGCACGACAGCATAGATCGTCAGAACACCGGCAACAGTTCAACGTTTAGTCTTAAAAGACGATGCAACTTCGACTCTGTTTGGGCCTGGAAATTCACAATCACAACCTGTAAGTATGCTTTACCAGGGACTTCAGGCAGGCGGCCCGAGGGCAGAGCAGGGGAACCAGGGAACTCAGGGGGGTAACCCAAGTGCAAGGCAGGGGTACCAGGGAGGTCAGGAGGTCGAGAGCCTGAGCTAAGGTCCAAAGGGGGCCGAGCAGAGGGTCGACGGGGAGGGCCGGAGACTCCAGGAGGCCGCCCCCGAGGTTGAGCTAAGGGGCGACTGGGATGAAGGCGAGACCTCTCCGGAGGCCGGGGAGCCGGGCTAGAGGCCGGCAGCGAGACAGGAGCAGGGGGAATCAGGGACAGGACTGCTGGGCTGAGGGCCTTTGTGCGAGGAGCAGGGGTCGGCTGGACCACCGACGGGGATGATGTCGATTGGACCACCGACAGAGTCCTCGGAGCCGGAACCGGCAGGACTGCTGAGCAGAGGTCCACGGACTGAGCTGCTGGGCTGAGGTCCACTGGCTGGACGATTGGGCTAAGGTCCATTGACGGAGCAGCTGGGCAGAGGTCCACCGGCGGAACTGATACCGGTTTGGCCACCGACAGAGGCTCTGGAGCTGGAGTCGGCTGGGCCATCAACGGAGCCAGAACGTGGAGGTAGCAGCCCGCTAGCTGACCGGTTGCCTTCCGGCTGGTGGCTGGTTGGTTGGGGGCTTTCAGTCTGTTCGCTCTCTGGCTCCAAGGCAATGTCCAGCAAAAAGGCAGCCAGAGAGCTAGATGTCCAAGTGTCCCCAACCAACCTGGATGCTGGAGCCGACTTTGAGGGGGATGGAGCAGGCAGGCGGGCTGGCTGGTGACTAGCCGCAGGAGTGCTAGCAGGCCGGGCGTTAGCTGACTCCAGGCTGAGGAACTGGTGATAACTTGGCCGGGGAATCGGCCGAGGTGTGGAGGAAGTCCAACATCCACTTTGGAAAGGAGTCCGCCACTCCAGGATTTGCGGCCAACTTTGTCCGGGTGAGGGACACGATAGCCTCCTTGTGGCTAACGTGACTGGCCTTGTACCACATATTTCTCAGTTCCAACAAGTCCAAGCACAAATTACTGAATTCATCGGACATGGTGTCCGCTGGGTCCCTTTTTGGTCGGGTCATTCTGTCAGGATTTGTGGTGTGGAGAGGCAGGTTGGAGGACCCAAATGCAGGACACGTAGGCTAGTAGGTATAGTTCTGATGGTTTATTGGCAAAGGCAACAAAAGGCGAGCGCACTTACAGGAAGAGTGGCTGATCAAACAGAGTCCAAAACAAAGTAATCCAAAAGAGAAATCCAGAATCCCAAATCCAAAATAAGCAGGGAAACAGGGAGACATGACGAGTAAGCTGGCAACAAGACCACACACTGCAGCACTGGGTACACAACGTGACAGGAGGTAATGACCTGACAAGACAGAAACACCAGGTAACACAGGTTACTGAACACATAACAGACCAGAGGAAGAAATATAAACTAATAAAGACACAAGCAGACAGATCACCACAAAACTAACACCAACAGGGAAAACAGACAGAAGCTAAGGTAAAACAGAACTCAGATAGACATGGGCAAAACACAGGAGTACACAGATCAGGAGTGAACACTAAGACATGAACTAGGGTACAGGACAAAGAACTACGATACGAGACAAGACAGATACTAAGTAAGATGTGGATGAATAATAATAAAGGCTACACAGAGACTGGAGCAGAATGATCAAAATCAGATTAATTAATGAAACTGGCAGAGAACATAAATAGACAAGCAGACAGAACTCAAGCATGAAGGTGCAGAACTAATACATGAGACTGGAACAGAACTGAAATCAGGAAAATACCAAACCACTACTAAACACCAGCGGACAGATAATAACCCCACAACCAGACACACAGACAGTAACATACCAACCAGCACAAGCACACAGAGTAACTGGACACAAGAAATAACTGAAACTCAAAACACAGACTATATAACAGATACTGGACACCGGGCACTAGGCAGGACAGAACCCAAAACTCAACGTACTAAAAGACGGATAATAAACTAAACTCAAAAGTGCAAAACAAGGTATGGCTGACAGGCAGAGTGTGACACCCTCACCAGCAACAAGAGAGTTTTAACCAGTTTTATCCCATCAACTTGTTTTAAAAACAGTATCACAAATGAGAGTGTCCTCCAGCCCACTTGATGTAATACCTACAAAGTTTTTACTGAAAGTAATAGATTCTGTTGGGCCCCATTTGATCTCTGTTTTTAACAGCTCCCTATCTACTGGTTGTGTCCCTGATTATTTTAAGACGGCTTGCGTGAACCCACTTTTAAAGAAACCTGGTTTAGATCCCTCCCTCCCACATAATTTTAGACCAATTTCAAAACTGCCTTTTACTGCAAAGATTCTAGAAAGAATTGTGTCCAAACAGCTGCTCACTGTACTGGAAAATAACAAATTATTTGAAAAGTTTCAATCTGGTTTCAGGAAGTACCACAGCACTGAGACTGCCCTGCTTAAAGTCATTAATGACCTTTTAATGTCTGCTGATGAAGGCATGTGCTCAGTCCTGGTACTCCTGGACCTTAGCGCTGCTTTTGACACCATTGATCACAACATCATGTTAGACAGACTGAGGCACTGGGTGGGGATCTCTGGTACTGCACTAGAATGGTTTTCATCCTACCTGTCAAATAGGAAGTTTTGCGTGTCTGTAAACAACTATGTCTCCTTGTTCTGTCCAGTTAAATATGGTGTGCCTCAGGGGTCGGTCTTAGGACCCATTTTGTTTTCCTTGTATCTGCTTCACCTTGGACATATTATCCATAAACATGGCATTTCTTTTCATATTTATGCTGATGACACACAAATATACTTGCCCGTCAGATCCACAGACCCTGGAATGCTGAGTTCACTTAACAACTGCCTTTGTGAAGTTAAAAAAATGGATGTCAAATAATTTCCTCCAGCTGAACTCAGACAAAACAGAAATCCTGGTCATTGGGTCTCAGCAGATGGCAAAACAAATACTGCCATCTGCTGGCTTTTAACCAGAACAAAGAAATATGACCACATCACCCCTATTTTAGCTTCATTACACTGGCTCCCAGTATGTTTTAGAATTGACTTTGAAATTCTATTGATCACTTTTAAAGCTCTTCATGGCCTCTCGCCTTGTTATATTTCTGACCTTTTAGTCCCATACGCACCAGCACGTACCTTGAGATCCTCGGGCAGAGGTCTGTTGTCTGTTCCAGAGTCTCGACTGAAAACTAAAGGGGACAGAGCGTTTGCTGTCAGGACCCCGAGGCTCTGGAACAGCCTGCCTGACGAAATCAGGTCAGCTGAGTCAGTGAACTCTTTTAAGTCCCTTCTTAAAACATACTTTTATAGGAGAGCCTTTCCCGATTTTATTTGACTTTATTTTTATCTCTTTCTTTATCTCTATTTTACTCATTTTATATGAAACGTGTATTTTAGTCTTTTCAATGTTTTCTTGCTTTTATCTTGTATTGTTTTTGTATTATTGTCTTTTGGGTATTGTTGTCTTTACACTTGTTAAAGCATTTTGTAATTTGTTTTTGAAAAGTGCTCTACAAATAAAGATTATTATTATTATTATTAATATTATTTTATTTCACAAAGCTCTCGCCAATATCCGGGAGCCTCTTGCTCGGTCACTCACTTTCTCTCTTCTTAGCTTCCTCCATCAGCGTTCCTCTTCAGTTTCTTCACCTCTGCTAACATTATGTCCATAGAGGCTGCTGAGCCCGGCTTTGTTGCCCACTTGCCTGGCTCCAGCTCGACAGCGGTGCCGCTCTCCACCAGCAGCAGCATAATGTTGCTGAGACTTGGGTGGCAAGCTAACTAACAAAGCGAGACAGCAGTAGTCTATTGGATGTCCTAAAAGTTGCTAGAAATGGCTAAATTAACTCATCGCCTAATTTGCATAATTGGCCATGTGTATGCAATTGGGATGGAT